CAAATTTTGTGCAAAAGTATTTTAGCATGGCTGCTCAACTGCCAGCTGGTCTGTAAGCTCCCACAGGTGTGTCCCTGGCCAAACCTCAGCAGTCCGCATCACAGCATGGGCCAATAGATGCTGCAGTTGTTGCTACCCGCCTCCCCCATCCCAGCTTTAAAGCAATGTGCTGTTAACCCATAGAACTGGCTGCCACTGTACATGTGCTGGTATTATCCTAGCCTCAATCAGTTTCCTTGTTTTACACAAGGAAATGAGCTTTGATTCAGAGTGGCTTTTGGAGCGTCCCAGAAAACAAGTGCGTTTTAAAAATCAAGTCCACCCCCCTACCACCACCACCATTCATTTGACGTGAATGAGTTACATCCTTCCATTGGAAGCTACAGCTGGATTGTAGTTTCTCTAGAACCTTAACTCTGCTCTTGGGAGTCAATCCTGGCTTCCTTTGTTCAAAACATTTTGCTCCCCCCCCCCAAAAAAAATAGCACTGCTCCTGTCATCATATTCCATAGGCCAGTTTAATGTTATGTATATTGCAAGTAATTTATACGGGATTTTTACAAGGAGAAAAATAATGTATATTTTTGTATGTTTGCTATATTTTTATAGCATTTGGTACTGTGCTCAACACATGTAGATAGGAGTTATTTAAAAAAAAAGTGTGTTAAAAGCCTTCTTGCTAAAATGTTTGTGGTGTGCAAGCAAAGCGCCCGTGTGTTTGGGATTTGTGCCAAAGGAAGTTTGAGAGATCTTTCTGTTCCCCACATCCAGGGCAGGGGGGCAGGAACTCTCTGCAATGCACTAGCCATAATTACTCCTAGACATTGCTAAGTCTAAAAAGAACTCTGATATCAAGGCCTACACCTAGTCTTTGACTGGGTTTCCACAAGTGCTGTTTCTAAATGCTGACTTGGTTATTCCATTGCCAACATCATTGGTAGGAGTTGTAAATAGAGATTATTTTTTCCTGGAATGGTTTTTTTTTAAATTGCTAATTCTTCTGGCTGTAACCATCGTCCTAAAAATGAGGAAAATATGGTTATAGGCACATCTTTTTATAATATTTCATTATTTATAAAGGGTGCTATTTTTTAACAAACTCTTTTCTAAAATATTCCAAGCTGCTTTACTCATCAGGTACAAAGTGGAAAATGCACTTGCTTCATTCTGTGAAGGAACAAAGAAAGATCGCTAGGAGGTAGGAGATGGTCAGTGGGTGGGAAAAGGGCATTGCATTGCATTGGCCAGGAGATAAATTGCTGCAAGGCTAAAGACTTTCTGTAATGGGTCCTTGATAAGTAGATTCAGCAGGGAGGTTTTCCAGTCATCATCCACTAGACCTGAGCGCACATTGGAAGCTTTTATCGTGAGTGAGCCATTGGGCTCCCTGCATTCCCTGTGAATGCAATGCAAAAAGCTGCAAATTTTGACCAGAGCAGGCCTCTGTTGCCACAAGTGGAGAAAAGAAGATATTGATCTGTTGGCTTATTTAAAGAATGCAGCCTGTGTGTGTGGGAAGTGACTGAAGTGAGCTAGAGATGGGTATGGCTTGAACCAAGTGAAGGGATTTTGCACTTCTTTCTCTGCTAAATTAAAAAGTTCTCATAGTTTTCTAGGGTTGTTGTTTTTAATGTAGGTCCTTACGAGGGTAAATCCTAGTCAAGTCAGGGAAGCAAGCGCCTTAGCACATGAGCTGTGCTCTTACGCTAAGGAGGGAGTGGGGGGTGTTTTCCTCCCAGGGAGGAGAAGCATTCTGGAGCACAGAAGACATGAAGGTAGCAAGGAAGGAGCTGGTATGGGAGGAAGGAAAATGTCCCTGGTGCTTTGCTGTAGATAGATCTACTTCAGCGCAGACCATGCCCGCTGCCCACCGCCCCCCTCTCTCATCAGCAGCGGACCCAACTCACGTCCCTACCTGCCAGATAAACTCTTGAATGTATATTTTGGTATTTACTCACAGGCAGATGGTTTCTTATTTATTGTTGTCCGAAACCCCACACTGATGCCTACAGTAACTTGCTGCTTAGCACAGAACTCTTGCCAGCTAAACAAAAACCACAACCCAGCTCTCTCTTTAGAGGCAGGTGGCTTTTATCAAGGCTTCTGGTAGCAACGGCAGAAGCAGCAGCAATTGTGATTAATGTTAAGTTTTGCAAACATATGTTGTTTTTTTGTAACGGTGAAAAAGAAATGACAAAGTCTACTTTAAAAAGTTAATGGACAGCTCAATAAAGATTTCTGTGCCTTATTAAGCAAATGGAAGTGTCTTGCTAAAGTGAATTTAATTGAAACCCAATAAATAGCAACCCACACCCAAGTTCGCAAACTCAAACAACAAGAGGTATGCAATTAGAAAGCCGGGTGGAGTGCTGAGTGCACTCCACAGAATGTTACTTGTACAACTGTCTGCCCTACTGGACAGAAGTCATGGGTAGGCACTGGATGCAGTGAGTGCCTGGCCATCATAGGACACGTCTGCCCCCTTGTGTCCCCTGGCAGCAAGTCCCGCTGGCATATACAGTATGTCAAGTCTACAATTCAACCGTCGGGAAACACGGTCCGACGGTCAATCCACGTAAACAAAGTCCCAACGGTCAGGAACGGTCTAAGTAAGCCAAGTCCAAAGTCTAGCAATCGGGAAACACAGTCTAGAGTCAAACCCAAGGCACAGTCCCATAGAAGTCCTAGACCATCCAAGCCGAGGTCCGTCAACATAGGCAGTTAAGCAGACAAAGCAGCTCAGCTCTGGCTCCCCCTTTATACCTTGCATGTGGATTGCAGCATCTGGGCTGGATGAGGCAGGTGAGCTTCACCTGCTCCAGTCAAGGACTCACACACCTCCTTCCCGAGCTAATGAGCCCCACCTGGGCAGTGGGTCCTTCCTGCATCAGCGTCCTTGAGCACACCTCCCACTGCTCTATACACCTCAAAGCCCACCTTGGTAATGGGAGACGGGCCTCTGGCTCCGATGAGGAGCCCTGCTCTTCTGGTCCCTGCATACTGACCCCCATTCCCGCACCACCCTCTGCTACTCCATGTGTACTTTCCACAACCCCAACCTCTCCTTTCCCATCCGTGGCTTGCCCCAGTGGGTCCCAGTCGCAGCTGCACCCCTCGCCGGGATCCTCTTCCTCCTCCCCATTGTCCTACCAGTTTATGACACCTTGAGGCCAAGGTGGCTGACCCAGAGAAGATGAGAGGTTGGAGGTAGGCAAGGCCTTCAGGGACACAACAGCAGCACTCCACTTTTAGAGTAACAGCTCTACCACCACCACAGAAAAGGTGGATCTCGAGAAAGGAGGGTGTCACTCCAAGGAAGAGGGAAATTATCCATTAGAAGGGACTCTTTCCATGGGCAACCAACACTGGGCGACTTCATTAACCCACAAATACAGTGGCCATATTTGTGTTCCAGTCACAACTAAGAGGTAACATTTCTAAAAACCCTAAATGAGTGTGCCTTAGAATCACCACCTGCATATTCGCCCTTCACACTAAGGTCCCAGGATTGCAACAACTAAAACACAATGTTAAAAACAGTTTAAAAACAGTTTAAAACACCCTAGAATCACATAAATTAGGGCCTTAAAAACATATACATATCAGATGTCAAAAACCAGGGTAAAGCTTTCACCAAAAGCTGCATCACTTACTTTTGTAGGGAGGAGATTCCTAAACTTTAGGACAGCCACAGATGATGTCTTCAGCTGGGCCATGACACACAAGCTTCTGAGTGCAGTGGAACGACCAAGAGGACTCCCTCTGCTGATCTTAATAACACCTGAAGGTCTGTAGGGAAGGAGGCAATCTTTCAAAACAGCAGCTCAAGGAACCAGAAAGGCAGCAACCCTGGACTTTCTTTTAAGTGGTGCCCAGGTGCAAGATGTAAGTGTTGTTGAACTCACTGGGAACAGTGAGCACAGTACTATCCAGTTCAGCATATATGTAAATAGGCAATGGCCAAGAAAATACAACATGGTCACATTTTACTTCAAAGGAGGAAACTTGCAAAAAAATGAGGGGACTGGTAAAAAGGAACTTTCAAGACAAAGTCAAAAGGGTTAAGCCTCTCCAAAATTATTGGGGGGAGGGTTATAAAACCAAGATATTAGAAACATGGCTAGAATGCACACCGCAGCCCAGGGAAGTTACCATGAAGGCCAAGAGAACACCAGCGTGATTAACAACCGAAGTCAAAGAAGCTATTAGATGAGGTAAGAAAAGGATTCCTTCAGAAAATGGAAGTCTTGTCCAAATAAGAACCAAAAGGAACACAAACTTCAGCAGAAGAAATGCAGACAATAAGAGATACAGAAACAAAGAAATTGAGCACGTTGCTAAAAGCACAAGGACCATCAACAAAAAATTATTTAAATACATTAGCAGCAGGAGACCAGCAAAGGAGGCATGTAGATTTTGAACAAGGGGGGTCAAAGGTGTGCTAAAAGAAGAAAGGGAGGCTGCAGAGAAGCTAAACAAATTATTCACGTTTGTCTTCATGGTGGAAGATGTAGAGCAGTCCCCCTGTGCTGGAACAAAGTTTCACCTGAGCTTCGCATGAGGAACAAATAGTGGTGACTAGTAAGGCGGAATTCTAGGCCTTACAAATCTGGTCTGAACAGCAACCCCTGAAGAGTTCTTAGAGAATTCTGATGTAAAATTGCTGATCTTCTACAAAAATATGCAGCTTGTCCCCAATATCAGTTTCCATACGAAGACCGTAAAGTGGCCAGTGTATCACCAATTATTAAAAAAAATTAGCTTAACATTTATTACAGGGAAACTGGTGGAAAGCATTATTAAAGACAGAATTACAAGGCATACAGAAAAACAAGCCTTGCTGAAGCAAAACCAGCATGGCTTCTGCAAGGGTAAGCCCTGTCTCACTAACATCTTAAGAGTCCTCTGAGAGTGTCGGGAAGCATATAGATAGAGGTGATCCGACATTTAATCACACTGGAAGGAGAACGTTACAAATGGTGCAAGATGTCAACTGGAAATCTGGTTGTCAAAGAAACACTTTATTTCATTAAGTGTGTTGTAAGACATTTGCCAAACAAGATGGATACAAAGGAAAGTGACATCCAGTCATCTTTAGGTGACCCCCCTTTTAAAATCCCAGTAAAGGAAGGCTTTACCTTCTGTACCATTTGCTATTTCCAAGGAAGACTAGCTACAAATCAAACCTTCACATCATTGCTGGCCCTTGGGTTTAGTCCTGTGAAAGCCCACCTGCAGTCCTGAAGGGAGCGCCAGTGACCACAGAAGGATGGCAGCAAAAGTCAGCAGAACATCCCACAGGGCAAACTCCCATGCTTCTTCTACTGCAGCACCGCCGCAACTCAAGTGGCGCCCAGGTCAGACTTCCTCAACCTGGCATCTTCCAGGTGTCGCTGGACTGTAACATCAGCCCGACCGCAGTGGCCATGCCAACTGTGCTCCCAGTCACATCTAGAGGGCACCAGGATGGGGAAGGCTGGTCTTCCTCTAAGCAATGACCAGAAAGCCTTGGAGATGTTTTGGGCTACAACTCACAGCACACGTTGGCTGGGGGGCTAGAGGGAGTTGCAATCCAAAACAACCGGAGGGCGCCAGTTTGGCAAAGGCCGACACAGCCCACGGCCTCAATGGCAATAAAAGCTCATCCCAGCAAAGGAAAGGAAGAGGTTAAATTTCTTCCAGCGAGGGACAATTTAAAAAGGAAAAGCCAGGGATCTCCTTTTTCAAGGCCAACGTGCTCCTCTTCCCTCCCCAACTCTGCAGCGAATAGATTAGAGCGAAATCAGCCCAAAGTGTCTGGGCACGGCCAAATTGTTTCTGCACAAGCTCAGTGTTTGGCATCTTGACCTGCTGCAAAGAACAACTGTTCAGGAAAGACCACTCGCCGGCAGCAAAATCCACGCCGCCATTATCCTCTGGGAAAAGAAAAACGAAGTCACTAACCCCCAGGCCTCCTCACCATGAGCTGGAGGCAAAAACGCATGCACACTGGGGCCTGGGACTCATCCAGCCAGGAACATTCATGGCGCTGCTGGGGAGTTCATGTCAGGCTACTGAGACACCTTTTCTTCCGTCCCTTCAACGAGAATCTTGTGTGTCTTAGATCTGCCTCCATTCACTCATAGCAGCGCATCCTCAAAGTGTTAGTTTAAAAAACGCACGACAGCAATGGCAGTCCAAGACACCTCCACCTTCCTCTCTGGAGAATGGCAGCCTGACAGGACTGTGGACCAGCAGCTTTCAAAGGGAGCGTGAGCCACCAGAGCGGCAGTGGTGTGTCCTGGATCGGGGAAACCCAACTCCAAGTGTCGCCAACGTGGAATCTCCTCTCCGCAGCAGCTGGATGGGTGGGGGAAACAAGAAGGCTTTGCCCACCGGACAAGTTGATGCAGGACACGTTCCGACGCTACACAAACTCCGTGAAGTCATCCACCGAGGAGATGAGGCGCTTCCTCTGTCCCGTTTCGTAGGTGGGAGCTGGGTCCTGAGGAAGGTGGGCAGACGCTTTGGCTGGGGCGGGAGGGTGCATGCTGGGGAAACCAGAAGCCTGGAACTGAGTCTCTTCTCTGATCTGAAAGAAGGGAAAGTAGAGAACGTATTTCAAGTCCTTAAAAAAACCCCAACCCTTTTATTTTCAGTGCTTTCAGAAGTCTTTACAGGGCCTAAGACCATTGTACCTACGGGGCCGCCTCTCCTGGTATGCCCCACGGAGGACCTTAAAGGTCCATAAATAGCAACACCCTAGAGGTCCCAGGCACTAAGGAAGTTAGATTAGCCTCAACCAGAGCCAGGGCTTTTTCAACACTGGCTCTGGCCTGGTGGAATGCTCTGCCTCATGAGACCAGGGCCCTGCAGGATCTGATTTCTTTCCGCAGGGCCTGTAAGACAGAGTTGTTCCGCCTGGCCTTTGGCTTGGAGTCAATTTGATTCCCCCCCCCCTCTTTCTTTTTTCCTTTTTCCTCCTGTGATGAGGCTGCATTTTAATGTTTTAATGTTGTATTTTAATCTTGTTTTTAAGTTGTATTCATTCAACTTGTTTTTATTATTGGTTGTTAGCCGCCCTGAGCCCGGCCTTGGCTGGGGAGGGCGGGGTATAAATAAAATTTATTATTATTATTATTATTATTATTATTACAAAGAGACCAGCTGGTATTTTCCAAACAACTCCTAGGAAAGCTCAGTTGACAGAGCATGAGAGTCTTAATCTCAGGGTCAGGGGTTTGAGCCCCACGTTGGGCAAAAGGTTTCCTGCATTGCAGGGGGTTAGACTAGATGACCCCTGGGTCCCTTCCAACTCTACAATTCTGTGATTATTACCCCTGTATTGGGGATGGGGTGTGTGTGTGTTAAAGTTAGAGGGGAAAGAGTCACATGCCACAAGAAAAAGAAACTCGAGGGAATACACTAAGAGAGAGAAAAGGCAGTGTTACCCTGTGCCGGAGCCTCTTGATGTGCCGCAGGCGGGCAATCCACTTAGACGGGTACGTGTCTGTGGGGTTGGAGCGGCTGTGATGGACCTGAGAAGCCATCTAAGGGAAACAGTGGGAAGCAAAGAGGAGGGTCAACTCAGGCAGGCTGGTTTAAGACGCCATCCAAGTGCAGCAGTCAAGTTGTCAACCTGCCACTCCCTCTGAGCCATTTTGAATGATGGCTCCCATCAGCCAGCAAGGCTGGAGAGACAGGACCTTTGCCAACCAGATTCCCTCCAGGCCTTCTGGACTCTCATTAGCCCCGGCTTCCTGCGACTGTGCTGGCTCTGGTCAAGGGGATCTGTAGCCCAAAGCAGCTGGTAGGCAACAGGATGCCAAAGGCTGAGTTGCCAAGTTCAAATGAAAGATGATCTGTTACCAGCTCCCACAAGAGCACTCACGTTGGCGTGCAGAGCCATCTGGCGGGCGACAAAAGCCAAGTTTTTATCGGAAACGATCTTCATCACACTGGTGTCGATGAGCCCTTCCATATCTACAGACCAGAGAGAGAAAGAGAGGGAGACTGCAGCATCCTCAGTCCATAACTGTACAAATTATATGAATATTATTTGTTTGTGTAGCCGAAGCCATTGCAGGAAACAAAATACATAAAACAGAATAAAATACATCACACAGTTGAAATAATTATTAAAACCAGGCATTCTGTCAGGTAAGAGATTGCGTCATCATTTCCACAAACTTGTCTCTTTACACCTTTTTCTCCCTACACCTCTGAAAACGTGGCTTTTAGATGTCCAGGAATAAAAGCCAAAAAATTAAAGTTAACATTAAGAATTTTATTTCTGAAATTGTACATCCTGTTTCCTCCCCTGCGCACCCAAGACAGAAGCTAAAATCCTTCCCAAGGCGCTGAGACAGCCAGGCCAGTGGAAATCTCTGGAGGTAACACCCTTCGCGAACTCTGGTGGGGAAAAGAAGAGAGAGGCCTGGGCCTACCTTTCCGGCACTGCAGAGTGAGCAGATTACAGTTGTAATCCAGCGGCTTGATGATGACATGCACAAAGTTGAATTGGCCCTGGAGAGGGAAGAACATTAGGGTGTATGGCAGGGAGAGAGACAGCGAGGCCCAGGGGCAATGCCTAGGCCTGAGACGTCTCTTACAGGCAGGGGAACTCTCTCTTCCCTTGCAGCCACCTTAGTAAGGGTAGGACAAAGCAAGCCTGTTTGAGTTCCATCAGGCTGAAGGGTTTGGGCCTTAACAGCTTTCGTTCCCCTAATCAGCCCAAGTCAGTTTACTGTGAAAAGCTCATTACAGAATACACTTTGCTATTCCTGGAGGAAAATCCTACAGCCTGCAGGGAGGGTTTAGTTTCCAGGTCAAGGGATACTGAGGTTCTCAGATGTTCCCAGTTAAGACTGAGATGTGTAGCGACTGGCAGCTGGGAACAGAAAGGAAGGCGTTTACAAAGTAGGAAGAGTCTGGCCGCCTTGTCCGGTGCCAAACAATGGAGCAGTTTTCTCAGACACAAGCCAAGCTCGAGGCTCATGGCCATGAGGGCAAAGGGAAATGCCTGGGGCACCCCTGGATCCTCCGAGTTTGGGAACAGGAGACATGGCATTTATCACAGAGTTGTGATTCTTGCAGCAAAACCTTGCTCCTATCCCCCCACATGATCTCCAGGCGGAAAAATCCATCCCAGAACCAAACAGGCCATCTGTCAGGCCCAAGCCGCTCAGCAGAGGCACATTTCCTTACCTTGATGGTCCCCAGCTTGAAGTCTTCCCCTGAATTGTTGTAAATGATGGACACAAAGTCGTTCCCCAGATGACGTTTCTTGTCGCAGCGGTACTTGTCCAGGTCTTTGGTGGGCATCAAAGTCGCAATGTGGAAAATGGCTAGGGAAGGAAGGAAGGCTACATGCAGTTTGGAGTCTCAAGCCACAGGAGGAGGAAACGTTTCATATGCTAGACCAGCCTTCCCTGACCTGGTGACCTCCAGATGTTTTGAATGCCAGGGCAGAAGGGAGCACAGCTGTCCTGATGGGACTGATGGGAGCTGGAATCCCAAAACACCCAGTTGAAGGTCTGTTTAGTGTATGAGCAGCAATGCTGAAAGTTTTTTTTTTTAAAAAAGGGGGGGAGCCTCAATGGGGCTTACACAGGAGACCTGGGGGGGGGGAGTGTTGCCCCCTGGGGCAAACCCATCAACTGCCCTCTCTGCTGCCCTTAAAGGCACCCTCAGGCCCGCTATTCTTCACAGTGGAAGGCATTCAACTTACACACCGCACAAACTAGGTTTCAAATTGCATTGGGCCAATTCTGAGAGAGCCCTCCGCAAAGTGGGAAGTGCTATCCCTGAAAGAACAAGGGCACAAAGGCTACCCAGCCTCAACACAGAGACACTCCCTCATTCAGGCCTACCTTGCATGATGTCATCGTGCCAGCAGTAGGTAAACAGCCCGTCCTCCCCGCACACATCCAAGCCACCAAGGTAAATCTTGTCTGGCTGGCAGTCTTTCAGCTCAATGAGCGTTCCCAAGCCAGTCAGGAACTCCGTGTACCTGTAGGAGCCGTGCTCGTTGGAAAGGATGGCGAGCTCGTTATTGCTCTGGGGTGGAGACAAAACCACGAGAGCAGCTGTGTGGACAACAGGCTCGAGGGTTCCACATTATTTTACCTAGAGAAAAACCTGGGGCCTTTTTAGGATGTGGAAGGGTCGTAGCTCAGTGGTAGAGCATCTGCTTTGAATGCAGAAGGCTGGCCCAGGGCTGGGAAAGACCCCAACCTGAAACCCTGGAGAGTCCGTATTGGCAATGCTGAGCTAGGCAGACCAAGGGTCTGACTCCATGTAAGGAAGCTTCTTTTGTCCCTCTACAAAATGGATCCTCTGCAAGGCCATTTTACAATGTGGTTCTGGCAGTTCCCTCACTGCAAGAAGTGAGGTTACAGGGAACCAGGCAGAGGGCCTTCTTGGTAGTGGCGCCCTGTGGAACACTCTCCTGTCAGATGTCACAACTATCTGACTTTTAGAAGACATATTTACAGTATTTTTAATCCATCCTTCAGCAAATAGTCATCTCAGGGCAAAAGATACTAACATGATTAAAGCAGAATACAATAAAACCAAAAATCACATATGCATAAGAATGATTAAAATAACCAACGCCAAATAATTTAATGAAGTGGGCAAGAGGAACATTTTAAACCAAGGGGCTTATAATAATGGTCACCTCCCTCCCAAAGACTTGGGCAAAGTGGTGCATCTTCACCTCCTAACAATTTCAGTGCCTGATGCACCTTAGAGAGGAGATCATTCCAGAGATGAGGGGGCCACCACTGAGAAGGCCCTTTTGCATCCAGGGTCCCTCAAACTTCGCAGGCAGCAGAAGGGAACAGTTTCCTGAAGGGAACAGCTTATCCCTGAGTGCCTTCTGCCCAAAAAAATCCAGGAAGCTGATGCCCACGGCCCTTACCTGCCCTTCCCCAACATATAGTACTGCAATCTTGTGGGTATCGTAGGGGGGGATCTGATCCAGCAGCTGAACTGATCTCTCAAACGTCTAAGAATCAAAAAATAAATGAGGAAAGCTTTAGAACGGCAAGCATGGTCAAAGCCACCTAGGCATCTTTTATGAAAAGGGAGGAGGGGCTGGCCAAGTATGGGGGTTAGCAAAGGGGTTAGAGGGTATGTGGGGTTGGCAAACAGAGCAAGCAGGGGCAGCAGCCCCTATTATTTATAATATTTTAAATGACATGCTCAAACCTACCTCATTTGGCAACAGGAGGGGCTTGTTGGATTCATCACCAAAGAAAGGAGAGTGATACAACTGCAGGAACACAAAGCTAAGAAGGAAACATTAAAATAGATTTAATTCCATTATCTCTAAAGGTTTCAGCTCAGTCTTAGTATGTAGAACTCTCCACTGCTACAGACAGCAATAGCCAAGCATGCAAGTGAGCCCCGCCAAAAGCAACTGGACAAATTCAGACATGATGTGGTGGGATCAGGTGAAAAGGCCCATCAATGCCAGCCTTCTGCTTCAGACACTAGCCAGCCAAACGCTCCCAGGACACTGAGAAGAAGGGCTTAATACCTGGCAGTCACTCTCCTCTCTCTGTACCAGGGACAGCTTTGACCAGGGAATGGAGTTGTGGCTGGTGGTGTTGGGCACGAGTCTCTGCAGCTCTCTTGTGCACTGGAGCCAGGCTCTGATGAGGGAGCCCATCATGGGGGTGCCTGGTCACGCCCCTTTAGAAAAACATGCCTGGGGTCATGGCCCCTTAAGCACCACCTCCCCAACACGCTACGCCCCTGAGGGTAGGGGGCACTAGGGTTTTCGTTTATGGGACCAAGGAGGTGGAGGCCCCAAAATGTTTGAGACCCACCGATCTGGACACCGAATCTGTCTTTGATGTGGTCAGGAAGAAAAATGAAAGAGTACTCCCTTGTCTGATGCAGCCTCTTCACATGCACAATTCACTCACCTTGGGTTGATTCCTGGCACTTTCTCCGCATTGGAAGCTGTTGCGCGGCCCTTGAAGGGGTCTCTCTCAATCCTCTTGCCCCTCCTCGAGGGAGCTGAATCAGAGATCGTGTACCCTCGGGGACGGTGGCCCGTTGGGGAGCGCGGAGAAGAGACAGGGGCACTGCATCCCACCCTGGGCGCCCCAGGGGGGCGGTCATCTTCCCCTCTGCCCAGCCAGCTCCCAGCTGCCTCCCCTTCCAAGTGTCCCGACTGAGACTTGGACTTCCCATCACTGCTCAGCTTCCCAGGCGGCTCTTCGCTGCCGGCGTCCTTGAGGACTTCCTGGAGGGTCTGAAGCTCCGGAGAGGAACTGGACTTGCTGAGGGGTTGGGAAGGCTGGAAAGAGAGTGCCTCAAACTCGCGGCTGTCTTCCAAGTTCCGGGCTCTTTCGATGGGGATGCCCATGGGGGCCAAATCATCTGGTTTCAGAACTCTCTCTTCTTGACTGGATGTCGACGAGGACTACAAAGCCAGGGGCAGAGGGAGGGGAGAAGGGAGGTGAAGACGTGGTCAATGAAAAGTAACTTGAGAGAAGAAGACCCTTGACAGCAACCCGTCTGGCCAAGCAGGCACTGGGAAGCTAGACCTTTTCTGCAGGATTCAAGTTACAAGAAAGGAGATTCCAGCTAAACATCAGTAAGCGCTTTCTGACAGTAAGAGCTGTTTGACATTGGAATGGTCTCCCTCGGGAGGTTGTGGACTCTCCTTCTTTGGAGGTTTTCAAGCAGAGGTTGGACGTCCACCTGCCATGGATGCTTCGGCTGAGATTCCTGCATGTCATGGGGTTGGGACCAGATGACCCCCAGGGTCCCCTCCCACTCTACAATTCTAGGATTATATGGCAGCCCTGCCTGAAGTATATGGAGAAGAATGCACCCTTGATAGAGGAGAGGGGATGACCACCCTCAACCCTGTTTCTATTTCCCAAGCAGCCCAGTGAAAAAAGGAAGACAGAGGGAAGTTTGGCAACTGGATGGTGTGTCCAGGAGGCCACCAGCTGCCAAGCTCTAATACAGAAGTACCTTGGGCCCTCCAGGTATTGCTGAACTACAACTCCCATCATCCTTGGACACTGGCTGATGGGGCTGATGAGAGTTCAGCAACGTCAGAAGGGCCCAAGGTTCCCCATACCTGCTCTAATCACAGGATTGCATCCAACAAGCTGTTCTGCTCACGGAAGGGCTGTGGGCTCAGTGGCAGAGCATCTGCATTGTCTGCAGAAGGTCCCAGGTTCAATCGTCAGTGGCATCTCTAGGGAGGGCTGCAAGGACCTAGTCTGAAACCTTGAAGAGCTGCTGCCAGTCAGTGTAGACAATACCAAGCTAGATGGACCAATGGTCTGACTCGGTATAAGGCAGCTTCCTATGTTACTGTGCAAAAGACTTCCCCTCTGGAGCATTGGGGGTGAGGGAATGGGAGAGAGGAGAAGAGGCAGTCCTGCTGTGCAAGCAGAATTTTACTTGTACAGCAATGGATACAACCCCAAAGTCTCTCAGCTATAAGCTGATGATGATGATGATCATGAAGAGAAGCATCAAAATTTCCCTGAAAGCTTGACTGCAGCCTCAGCCAAAGCCTCTTCATGCTTTGGGCTACAGCCCATCAGTCCAAGGCAGCCCATACATGTGTTTTAAAGTTCTGTCAACTCTCTCTCTCTCTCTCTCTCTCTCTCTCTCTCGTGTGTGTGTGTTCTTATATGTAAACCGCATAGAGATTTTTCTGTGAATTTGGTCCAATAAACAAGGAAATGAAACCACTTGGAGGCAACCTTGTTGGGTCAAGAATGTTGCATATGAATCTGAAACTCTTAAGCTCAGGGTCCTCAGTTCAAGCCCCACATTAGGCAAAAAGGTTTTTGCATTGTCGCGGGTTGGACTAGATGACCACCGGGATCCCTTCCAACTCTACGATTCAGGGAAACTACACTCCTCTTTGACAAGAACAGCTAAACCTACACCCCATGCATGTGTGCACACTCAACTCACAAAAGGCATATTTATCTGAAGAAAGTTCAAGAACGTCTCATTATGCAAAAACGTCACGTTTCTCCCTGGGACATTCCACTCAATGAAAAGTTCTCCCCGACAGGTTTAACTCAAGATCAAGCAAGGGAGCTTACTGACCCGACTATACGTCCCGGGGCATCTGACCAACCTTCTCCTCGCTTAGGCCTTGCTCTGGACACACAGCTTCAAAGTCTTCAATCTCTTGAGATTCTAGGCGAGACTCTGCGTCTTTTAAATCCGTCTCCGGTGGGCTTCCTTCTTCCAGAACCACAGCAGATTCTGACAAGAAATAAATAGAGGCCAATTGCACATGCAGAGATTGTTTTCCCCCGCACACACCCTCAAAAAAACAAACTTAAAAAATACATAGTTTTCGGCACACAAATGAAATTAACAAAACCAGCAAGGAAAGACAAGACAAACCACTGCAGCAGCTTGGGCGGATATTGATTGCAGCTTGCAAGAAAAAAAAAAGTTATTTCAAAGCAGAAATTCAAGAGTTAGCTGTAAACACACACACAAAACACACACACCCCTCAAACAAACGTGCTGATCTGCTAAACTGTCCAAGCCAGAAGACCCCTGCCCAGTTTCCTCTAATGCTTCAGAGTGAAATGGCTGCTGTTTTTTAACCAAGGTTTTTAAGATTCGTTCAAAGGGAGATTCATTCAAAGTGAGAGGCTCCTGCCTTAGCCTGTGGACATTTTAACAGCATCTCACCAACATAGCAACCAACGGTGACCTGCAGCAATGCCACATGAGAATTTTACTTGAATTTTTTTTTTTTAAGCGAGGGTTGGATAATGTTCTGTCCTTTGCATGAAAACAGCATTGATTCGCTTTGTGCTTCTGCTTCTGTTCACCGCAGAACCAAAGGATCTCTAGACTGCAGCTTTTGCTAACCTGGTACCCTCCAGATGTGTGGTCTATTGGTTAGAATGTTGAGACTTTGACTGGAGACATCAAGGTTCGAATCCCCACTCAGCCATGAAGCTCCCTGGGTGACCTTGGGCCAGTCATCATCTCTTAGCCTAACCTACCTCACAGGGTTGTTGCAAGGATGAAATGGGGTAGAGGAGTACCATGTACACCACTTTGAGATCCTTGGAAGATAAAGATAATATATAAAAGTAACTGTTGTTGTTACTGCTGCTGCTTCAGGCTACAGCTCCCATCAGCCCCAGCGAGCTTGGCTATCCTGGCTGGGGCTGTTAGGCGTTAATAATCCCAAAACATCTGAGGAGCACAAGATTGGCAAAGGCTAAAGTCTAGATTGCAGCCTTCGCGTGAGTGGGCAACAGAAAGACAGACCCCCTGAAAGATTTCTTAACCTCCTTGCCTTAATTCAGATAGAATTTTGATTGATAGACTTATTATTTGTGGATGGGTTGCAGGGTCAACACACAAAAGAGTTAGGAGGTGGAAGTGAAAGACTCAAAACTGAACAAAAGGCAGGGGTAGAGAAACATTGGAAATGTCAGTTTTTCCTGTTTCTAAGCTGCACCCGAATTGCAACTTTCCTTCTTTCTGTGTTCCATAGCAGAGATAGCCAATGTGCTCCACTCCAGATGTTAGAATGCAACTAATAATAATAATAATAATAATAATAATAATAATAATAATAATAATATTTCCTGCCCTTCACCAGCAGGTCCCAGTGTGGGTCACAACAATTTAAAATCTGACAGTTAAAACAGAACACAACCACAGGAATAGGATGGGCCCTGAAAACAAACATCTCAGGTGCCAAAGGCCAGGACAAAGGTATAATAATCCCCAGCTGCTGGTGACATTGGCTGGGGCTGGTAGGAATTGGAAGTCCAACACCATTTGGTGGACAACCACATTGGGCAGTCCTGCCCTACAGTTTGGTGGCCTGCCTATAAAGAGCTTCCCCACCCACCCCAAAACCAAGGCATTATGGAGCTTTCATGGACCAACCGAGGCCATGTCTGGCTTGGACTTGTTTATGCCCACTGGAATTTCCATCCCTGGAGTGCAATGAGATCAGGGACAGACATGAAACATGGAAGGAGTGGATGGAAGCACGAGGAAAGGCAGCCTCTATGAATCACAGTGCTTGTTTCTTTTTATGTCAATACTTGCTCCCCCTCCCTCCTCTTTCTTGCTTTTCTTTTTATTATTATTATTTTTAATAAAGCTCCTTTAAAGATATGCAAGTATACCTGCCCAGGAAATGCTCCTGTGCAACTTTTCTTGAGAACTGGTCAGGTACATGGAAGAGAAAGAGGCCACTGTGAAGGGAAAACCAAGGGAGGAATGACATCAAAAAGGAAGGAGAGGAAGAGAGAGAGGAAGAGACTCTATGGAGAAAACAAATAAATAAAATTAAAGCACCGAGTTTTAACACATAATCAGAAAGAGAGTCAGCTTCAACAAAATACATGGGAGGAAAATAACAGGGTAGGGAAGGGTGAGAGCACTTAGAAGAGGTGTAGTCAAGGCTGAGCTTTTGGGGGCTGAGGACTCCAAAACCCATCACACCCTGCAACATAGCTTGGGATGATGGTGATGATTTTAATTTATTACCTGGCCATTTTAGGCCAGAATACTCATCAGCCATGGTGGCTGGGAATGATGGGAGTTATAGTCCCAAACATCTGGTGGGCACCACGTTGCCAAAGGCTGTGTTACAGGGTGAGTTTCCTGCTCCTACCCCTGCCCCAAACGAGGATGGAGCCATCCAACATGGTGCAACGCAGCAGATGGTCCTCCTTCGCAATTCTCAACGAAAAGAGCAAGAACTTCAAAAGGGCTTGCAGAGAACTTGACAGTGGACTTTGCCCTGCGTTAGTATTTTCATTCATACAAATATTTATATACCACTAATTCATAAAACAAAAACCAGAGGAATGTACAGCAAATGTACATAAAACCGTGTGTGTGTTAAAATAAGGAAATCAGCTAACTATTGTGGAAAGATGTATTCTTAACTGCCCAAATAAGGCCTGGCAAAATGGGAAAGTTTTCAGCAGGTGTTTAAAGGCTGGAACAATCTCCAAAGGCACAATACTGGGTCAATGGCATGAAAGGTTCAGTTCCTTGTCAAATGAGCTTCACCAACTTGGGAAATGGCCAGTGATGCTCCTGCGTTGTAAATCAGTCAATGAGAGGAGGGAGGGAGAAACATCCAGATACCCACACTGAATACTGGACAATGGAATGGTTAAGAAGAGGCGGCTTATGCAAGTAGGTATGGTTCAGGAAGTCAGGAAAAGGAGATATAAGATTAGTCACTTATCCCCAAACCCTCCTTGCCTAAAACACAACCCAAAGAGGGTGGGGGGACCACCAGCACTTCCAGCACTGCAGTGGTTCAGCCTTAAAACACCAGGAAATAGAAAAGCTCCCAGCTCCCAGGTGCTTGCATCTTAAAATTTCCTGGCAAATGAGCATCTGAACACTACTACTTTTTTTTTTACACCACAATTTAGATGCTGTGAATTACACTTGAATTTAAACTGGTCTGTGACCGAAATAATAAATTCACCTGTATTTAGAGTTGTCTCCAACTAAGTCCTACTCAGAGTAGACCCCCGAAATGAATTTACTAACAGGAGTCATGGCCATTGATTTCAATGCATCTGCTATGAGTAGGTTTAACACTGCATACAACCCACTATGCTGGAAGGGTTTGATGCCAGGAGGCATGCATGTTCTCTGTTCTTGAGATCTGTCCTGCACAGGTGTAAAATTTGGGAGAGCAGTTTTCCCCAACCTGATGCCTTCCAGGTTGGCCAAGAGTGTGTGGTACAGTGCACAATATTTAGAATCTGGGCATTAACTGTATTTTCATCTAAAACCAGAAACAAGCCCACCAGCAGCCTCATTTGCTGTCATCGGGGCTATTCAGATTAGCTAGAAAGTGAGTGGGTGACAACAGGTTAAATCTCAGAAACAGAGGGGGCGGGGCTGGAAGGTGAGTAGGCGGGACACTGTTCATGTGGGCGGGGCTGCAGCAGAGCTGGGTGCAATGCTGCGATTCCAAAGGAGAATGGAAAAGATGCAGGATATGCAGCTGCCTGCAGGATAAAAAGAAACAAGATTCTAGTCCCTGTGGTTGTGTAAATATGTGCTTGTGGGAGCAATGGCTGAAGTCAGAGCAACTGCAGGAAACATTCCCAGTTTTATCAGGGCTCTTGCACAGATCTGTGCCTTTCTCCCCATGATGAGCAGAAACAAAATTACGCACACAAAAAGATCACAGAAAAAATTATGCAAAAAGAAAAAGAAAACCATGCATACTAATTTGCATAATTTAGCCAGGTTACAGAATCTGAGCTACTCTGGCACAGAACATTGGGGTTTGAAATAAACACAGACCTGAGCAGCAAGGGAATTCTCCAACCCCCCTTCTTGCTGCAGACCATTGTTTCAGAACAAGGGAGCTTTAACAGAGAAGTCCTCCACCCAGTCTGCCCTGACAACTTCTGGAAGGAGACCTAGACTCATGAGTGAAACATGCATTGATCAAAACACTCTTTGGCTAAGGCTGACTCTCAGCAGAAGCACACATTCTGCTGTGTTTAGTGAAATGGGCAGTGTGCTTCTTTCTATGACTGAATTATACACACATAAGTAAAATGGATTATTCAGAGTTGTATCCAACTGTTGTTCAGAACAGACCCATTGAAATTTACAAATCTTTAGTCTAGGTTTGCCGTATTTCAAGAAGTAAAAATCCAGACACAAAAGGCTTTTTTAGGGAAAGTTGCTGAGCTTTTTTTGGGGGGGGGATCCAGGAAAATCCAGACGTCTGGCAACCCGACTTTAGTCATGCCGATGAATTTCAATAGGTCTACTCCACGTAGGGATAACATTGGATACAACCCTAAGTATTTATGTTTCTATCCTGCATTTCTTCAGCAAGACCACATTCACAGCATGCATTAAAAGAAATGTAATACCACTTTTTAAAAAGTCATTCCCTCAAAGAATCCTCTGGCTTCCGTCACGGTGTTCCATTGTGCCAGAAGCGGTTTAGTCATGCTGACCACAAGACTCGGAAAGCTGTGGACAAACATCAGCTCCCTCGGCCTGAAAGCGAGATGACTGCCACACCCCATAGTTGCCTTTGACTGGACTTAACCGTCCAGGGGGTCCTTTACCTTACCCCATACTGCTTTCCATGAATGGTGTGAATGTGGCAGCATAATTTATTCAAGAAGCATGATCTATGGAATTATCTCTAATTGATTAAGGCAGCTTTCCCGAACCTGGAGCTCTCCAACTGTTTTGGACTACACTTCCCATCAGCCCCTGCTAGCCCCACACATGGCCTGATGTAACAGTGGCTGGGCTTCAGGCTAGATTAAAGACTTCCTTTTAGGAAGGTGAATTGTGTGCGCCTCCTGTTCTCCTAAAGCAGAGTGGCTCTGCCATGAAGCACCCTGGCTGGGAATGGCTGGCTATGGCCTCATCCTCGCACCCCCTCTCCTGGGCCAGCCGCTGCGCTGCCTCACCTGTGTTTGAGCGCTGCAGAAAGTACGGCTTGGCAGTCCCCGTTGGCAAGGTGGAGGAAGGGACTGAGAGGGACTTGTACAGGGTGGGGTCACGGTGCTCCTTGAAGCGCTCGGCCGCCATGAGAGCGTTGGAGAGCTCCTGCAGGGGCATGCTGTTGATATCCGAGGAAAACGGGCTCAGGGAGTTCTCCAGGCTCATCAGCCAGCTTGTGTTACCTGGAGTGGTGGGAAGGTGAAGATGCAAAACAAAGCAGAACATGCCACTGAGATTTAAAAATAAAATAAAATCCCCGTTAATAACCCCAGTCTCGTTTCCCTCTTTCGTAAATGTCCTGCAGGGTCTCATTCCAGACATCTCAAACATCCAGCACTGGCCTCCTAGGTGAATGGAGAGCTCTGCCTAGAAGACACTGGGGCTGTGCACCAGATTCAAATAATGCCTGGACCCAAAGTAGGCTGACCCAGGCTTTGGCCCAATGAAGCCAAGAGAGCTCTGGATCGCCTGGGGGTGAGGGGAGGCAGGCAGCATCTGCAGGATCTGCTTCACCCAGCCTGCAGGAAAGGTGCTGGTGATTCCAGCAGGATTAACCTTTCCACTGATCAACACGTTCCCTTCCCAACAGCATGTTTAAAACATTAATTAAATGCTAGGGCTGACCGCCCCCACCCCAAATCAATTCAGGCCCCTGGTCCATGTTGGTCCTAGACTGTCCAGAGTCAGATCAGGGCTGATCCAGAGTCCCAGACTCGATTGGGGGTGCCATGCACAGCCTTAAAAGAATCACATAAGAACACAAGCAGCTGCCTTTTGCCAGGTCAGCCTGTGGGTCCCTCCTGCCCTGTGCTGTGGCTTTTCTGTCACTTGCTCCTGATCAGGGAATGCTGGGGATGAAACCTGGAGCCTTTTGCATGCCTAGCATGTACTCTACCACTGAACTCCAGCCCCTCGTGCCACACTTCCCTGCAGCTACATACAGAGCAGGGGGAAAACAGATAGCAATGGGCAAGTTGCTTTCCACAGGACTTTGTGCACCATAACTGATCTTCAAGTTAGGGAACAGTTGGTAACTTTTCACGGAACGCTGGAGGTCCCCTACACCAGAGCCATAAGGCATGGTAAGAAGCGCTCTCTCCAAGTGCTAATTGCTTTTTAGCATTATAACAAAACACTTCTCACCAGGCTGATGGAACATCATTGCTTGTCCGTGTCACAACATAAACAAAGGGCTGCAACTAGGACACATTCCTGAAAGACTCCTATAATAACGCACAGTGTTACATCATTCCTATGATTCTAGGATAAGGTACTGATTAAGCCCTTTACACTCAGCAACATGGAAACATGTGCACCAACACATGCCATTTTACATATTTGTGAAGGCATACATTTCACCTGGCCTACCTGTCGGTCTCCGCACCAGTATCTCCGCCCAGCCTTGTGTTAGCAGGGGGACGTACGCAGCCAAGTTGGCCTTTTCCTTCTGTAGAGGCCCAGGAGCAGCCTTTTCCGCTCGAGCAGCAGTAGGAGCAGGAGAGCTCTGAAATCCTTGGGGCATCGGGTGGCTGAGAAATGGGAGGTGGAGGTGTCTAATGCCCCAACCCGTAAGGCGTGGCCACCTGGATGGCAAAAGGACATTCGGAGGAAGCAGAGAGGTTAGGAGGATTTTGCAGCGGGGCTGCATATTGGTTCAAAGACGATACAAAAAACATACGCAGCTATTGAGAAGAAACAGAGTTGAACTGTGTGTGCTTAGGAATATAAGAAGCGCCTGCTGGATGAGGCCAGTGGCCCATCTAGTGCAGCCTCCTGTACTCACAGTGCCCAAACAAAAGCCTACAAGGGAAGATGCAAGGGAGATATGAACACAAGAGCACCCTCCCCTCCTGGGGCTTCCAGTGACTGTTAATCCCACTCTAGGGCTGAAGTATTGATCTAGCAGTACAAAGATCCTCTGCCTGGGGGATCCTCTCATATCCAAAGCTTTTATTATCAGGGCAAGCAATCACCAGTGTGAATCAAAAGACAGAGACAGACCCTAAAGTAGTTCAGGTGATGTATTTTATTGGGGAGGGGGGAATCTTCTGCACACCTGTGAATTCTCCTTAACACTTGTTCAACAGGCAGCTGTATGGAGATTGTGGTGGGCTCCACTGGTAGAGGCTAAACTAAGAGGCACCTCTCCCAAACCAGTTTCTATTGACTAAGCGCTGAGAGCCTAAGAAGAGCTGGCTGAGTCACGCCCATGGCCCAGCATCGCATTCTCACAGTGGCCAACCAGATTCCTGTGGGAAACCTGCAAGCAGGATTCAAGCACAAGAGAATGACATCAAGCCCCTGGTTCTTTAGCCCCCGAGTAACCAGGTCAAGCCTGGGCAACTGTCTAGCAAACAAGGAGAAGAGGAATTCACAGAGAAGCCCCAGAAACTGGAAACAAGTAGGTAGGACTAAGAAGTTGCTTATAAGGACAGAACTCCAGTTATTCTAGAGAGGAGAACTGCTGGGCCGAACAGTCACAATAAGCCAAGCTTTGCTAACAGGGTGCTCTTCAGATGTTTGGGACTACGACTTCCATCAGCTCCTCCCCCAGTCAGACCATTTTAGAATACAACTCCTACCACCATTTTAGAAGACAACTCCTACCACCTCCAGCCTGCAAACGCTGGATAATCAGCTGAAGGCTACAGATGCATTTACCAGGGATCAGCAGGTCAGTATTCCATGGCACCTTCTTCTATATTGCTGCACTCCGCTCTGGCATACAGTGTGTGCGTTGGGGGCATATGCATATCCTTCAGAGCACCATCAATTTAGCTCCTACAATCAGGAAGCCAACCAGTTGCCACTGAAATACTGGCGCATTATCCCTCTGGGAATCACAAATGAGGAAAGTGTATCTGTTGCTTGCTGGCTTCCCATTGGTGCATCTGGCCAGCCACTGTCAGAACAGGATGCTGGGATAGATGGGCCCCTTTGGACCTGATTCAGCAGGCTGCTCCTCTTACGTTCTCAAACCTCATTTGTCTCAGGAGTAACTACTCTGCAGTAGCTAGGCCTGATCCTGAGCAAACAATATAAGCAAGCCTTATGGCTCTAAGCACCTGAATCTTCCATACAGAGAAATCAGGGGAGGCTCCTTACCGGACATCGACCTAACACGGTTGCGGGTTCGAACCACTTGTGGGCCAGCCTGGGACTCAAGCTTGGCTGGAGCTTCTTTGGTCTGCCTCACTTGCAAGGTGTGGTCGGAGCTAGGAATCCAAAGCAGGAATGCCGTCAGTCCACAAAGGAATTAATTTGTCTCCGCTGGTAGATCTTGTGGGGAGGGGCCATGGTTCAGTGGCAGAACACCTGCTCTGCATGCAGACGGCCCAGCAGGCGTATCGCCATCTCCAGTTAAGGGGACCAGGAGACTGCGAAAGGCCAAGACCCTCCAGCGCTGCTATCAACTGGGGTAGATGGGGAAGGGCCGCAGCACAAAGGGATAAGCACCTGCCTTCCATGCAGAAGGTCCCAAGCTCCAGCCCCTGTATCTCCAGGTAGGGCTGAGAATACCTCCTGCCTGAAACCCTGGAGAGCCCCTGCCAATCAGTGTAGACAGTACTGGGCTAGATGGACCAATAGTCTGACTCAGTAAAAGGCAGCTTCCTCTCTTCCTGTGTAAAACAGCATAAGGGAGCATCCTCTTGTGGCAGAAGGCGGAGAAGGGTGAGCAAGTGGCCTCCCAGCACCAGACAGATTTTGAGACCAGGCTCTTTGTGCAAAGGAACCCTTTCCTCCCATTTCCACACCCACCCCTAGCCAAAATTAAAAACTCTGTGACAACACCCCACAATAGTTATTTGCCCCATCTTCCCTACCCTCAACCCCTGGAGTTTTAAGAGTGCCCAGCGTCATTTCCCCAGTCTCCTTTGCTTTGTTATTATTTTTTAAAGGGGGTGAGAGGTGCATCAGGGCTTACCTTGCCCCTGTGCTGTTCTGTGTCTCTGACAAGTCAAGGCCCAGGAGAGACCTGGTTCCCGTCCCGACACTTGTTGTGATTGTCACCAGCTTGTTGCCCACCAGCCACGTCTTGGTCCTCCCTCCAGCGAGGAGAAACTCTCCCACCGGAGACCTGGAAGCATCAGGAAGACATGGACAATGAATTAAAGCAGCTGCTACAACTCCCATCATCCCCAGCCAATATAGCCATGCTCCCATCAGCTCCAGCATCATATAGCGGTGCTGGCTGGGGCTCCTGGGAGCTGTAGTCCAACAAAACATCTGACAGGCATCAGGCTGAGGAAGGCTGAAATGAAGGAACTGAAGAACCACCTTGATGAATCCGGCCAAAGGTCCATCAGGTAAAAGCATACTCTGCCCACAAAACAGGACATTCCCTACCACCGGAGAGATGTTCCTTCTGATCATGGGGACTCCACAGAGCTATCATGACAAATAAGACCAATTCACTGGTCCCCACATCCAGTCCTTTTAAGGCCATCTAAGCCAAGGTTAGCCAACTTGGTGCCCTCTAGATGGACTACAAATCCCATCATTCCTGGCCACTGACCACATTGGTTGGAGCCTATTGGGAGATAGTCCAAAGCAGCACCAGGATGCAGAAAGGTGACGAAGATCCAGTTCATACTTCATTATAAGAGGCATAATATTTCACGATAAGGAAAGGGCGTATCACATTTTGAGAAGCAAATAAGGAGCCAAAGCAGTTGGCATATAAAACCAACAATAGCCATCCCTGAAAGAGGGCTGGGGATTCGGGCTTCGAGTAAGAACTGAAACCTTTTGGGCACAGCTGTGAAGTTTGAGAAGACGTATCGAGCCATCATGTCGAGGCAGGTCTCCGTCAGCTCCAAGTGGAGATTTTTCAGGCTGTCGTCCGCTTGAGCCATAGAGTTCTCGTCAGCAGATCCCAGGCTGGAACTGGTGATGGAGGTCTGCAGCCGGCTGGAAAAAGGTGGGTCGGACGTTTGCCAAAGCACAATGGACAAGGAAAACCAGTTGTCTCACAATCTCTACAGCATGCAGCAAGCTGGGAGGCAGGGGTGGGTGGGACACACATACACAAGCTTAGCAGTTTTTTTATGGATATCAAACTTTGGAATGTGGTTCCATGAAGGAGACTGACCTGAAATATGGGATCATGAGAGCCTATGTGTCTTCTTAAAATCTAGGAGGGAGAGTAACTAAAGAGGGGCTATTTCATCTGCTTGGAGTAGGCTTGCCTAACCCCTCAATTGCTGGAGGGGGGGAGGTTGTAGCTGTATGGCATCTGTGGCAACCGGACCTACAAGCAGGTCACTTATCAGGCTAGGTAGTCACAGACCTGGATTCCATTACTAAGCAGCCCTCCAAGAGACACAGTTGCTGACTATGGGGGCTTAAGAGCTCGTTAGGGCTGTGATCCTAATCCTGCAAATTTTGGAGTAAGCCCCGCTGCATTCAGTAGGACTTACTTCTGAGTAGACATGGTTAGGATTGTGCCAGGTCATTACTGTTATAAACTGACATTCCTTTCTATACTTTCTATGAATCTGACCGTGGGATAGCAGGAGGACTAAAGAAATCAGCAGCCCCCAAAGTGAAGGGTACCTGAAAAACAAGGAGCCCCTTGTGGCACCTCAAAGACTAAAAAATATATGATGGCAAAAACTTCATGGACTCAAGGTCACGTCATCAGACACAGCATTCCGTGGCTTGAGTCCATGAAAGCTATTATAGCATAATAAATTTGTTCATCTTTAAAAGGTGTCACAAGACACTTTTGTCATTTTTGCTACAGGAGACAAACCCAAGGGCTATCCCTCTAAAAATTTAAGCAACACATTGTGTTGTACAAAATAACAGGACAGCACAGAACAGATCTGATCACCAGCTTATCAAAACTTTATATCAAGAGGTCTCTTGTGCCACATGGTAAAGTTACCTTCTAGTCCATCCTATGGCTAAATAGTCTTGTGACAGCTCCCCTATAAAATGCAGCACTTTTAATTATTATTTTTTAATTCAAGAAGTTGCCTTTGGAACAACCACCATTTGGGGGGAAAGGTCAAGCCCAACCAAAACCAGCTGTCTCACATCCCTCTCACATCTTTATCAATGGGGGTCTTGCAACTAAACCTACATTTGCATCAGCGTTAAATTGTGTGTCCTTTTCAATCTTAAAACAGGCAAACAGAAGAAAGCACTTGCATAGCAAACCTTGTTGGGTGGGGCTCAGTTCTAAGGAAATCATGCAAGAAACCCAGCATGCAAATCCCCTCTGTTCCATCTGCCACCCTCCCCATCATAGCAAGTAATGTGGCCGCGAGCCCAGGTGGCTCTCCAAGAATCACTACCTGTGGGCTGCATGGTCAGAGACACTGATGCTGCGGGACCGGAAGGCATCGACACCAGAGGGTTCTTTCAGCTCTTTCACTGGAGGAGAATTATTCAAGCTTTGCCTGGCATTTTTGGCTATCTTAAAGCTACTAGGGGTGAAGAACAGGCAGCGGCACCACCACCAAGACCCCACGTAAAGGAGGTGTGATTTTGCACAGGAGGAAAATCAGTAGAAGGATGGAGGTTGGAAGGCCACAAAAGTCCCGGAAGGTGATGTAAAAATAAAAACAAAAAAAAACAGGATGCCAAAAAAAGGAGGGAGGGGGGAATTAAACACAATAAGCAAAACTCAAAAAGCATAAACAAACATTTCAAAAATGAAAAAAGACAACAGAAAGACAGCCGACATCTCCCCCATTCTACCCCAGATTGATAAATGTTACAAAATAAAAGTGGCAGTTGGAATACTATGGAGCCCTGAGCAAAAATAATAAAAGTGTGCCTGTTCAGTGGGTAGGGAATGTGCAATATGCATTAGCTCAGAGGCACAGTTCACAAAACCCAAACCCAATTAAATGACAAGACAGAAGACTATGGAATCATCAGCCCCAACATCAAGGTCTAAAGCAGATTCCTGGGGTGAGGGCCGCATAAAGCGCAAGTAGCAACAGCTTCTGCTATTTTTCCTTCTGTGAAGTGTCTCCAGCAAAACAAAATGTACCTATGGAGTGAGCAAGTTCCCTCAGGGCAATGCCTGGCTACATTTATGCTGCTGGATCTCACTGCAACATTATCACTAAGGTTTGAGGGTGAAACCGCTGCCTGAATGACTCAAAAAATAGATAACACAGGGAGGGTGTATCTCCCACTCAAAGAACACCCAGGGCATATGTTTGCGTGTTTCATACCCAGAAAACGAAAAGGAGCTCCAAGAGGTTCCTGGTTTTACAGAGCAGCACACACACCTGGGGTTTCTTGTGGGTTTTCTGACCAGGAAGCAAATCACACACAAACCATTTGCATCCAACCAAAGGTGCCTTTTAGGGTTGACTGACACTCCTGCTACTTTTCAACTACAAATCGTGGCTACTGCCACTCCCAGAATAATGGCAGTGGGTGTTTTGAAAGTACCTCTTGCAGAACAACTTTTCAACTCAACAGTATCCCAACTTAGTAAAATCAAAAATGCCAAGGCAAGGAAGTGGCGATGGGAGCCACAACTCAAAAGGAAAATGACGGACACAAAAAGGCTGGCTAGAGAAGTGGAGAGCCTCGTTTGTAAGTCCGAGGTCAAGAATATCACCAGCTGTGCTTTAATTTGCAGGCACAAATCAATTCCCAGGGCGGCAGTGAAATGAAAGGTAGGCCATGCACCTTTGGAACTTCATGGGCCTGGTTGGAAAACTCTCTGCCTAAAAAGCTTGAGGGTATCATTGTTGAGGTGGTAAAGGGGCAGACACGCTTCATGGGCAGGCAGAGATCTGAACCTGGGTCACCCAGATTCAAAAGGCACTTCAAGCACCAAATTGTTTTCCATGTGGCCCCTCCAGACTTCCTTTTTATTGTGCCTTCATGATGGTTTGGTATCAGGGCTGTTGTGCACAATCCCACTTTCATAGCACTTTGCATCTGTAGAAGTTTTTTGGGGGACATCCCACTCTGTTTCCAGTTAGGTGCATGTCCCAAAACTTCCTGCTGAAATCCTGTAGCTTTTCATACCACAAATGTTCCAATTTATTTTTCGCTGCACTACAGTGTGAGGATACCCTCTGGTAATGTTGGGAGAAACGCTGCAGAACAACTAATAAACGGGAAGGTTGTGTGGACAGGCCCAGCACTAACGCAGTAATGTTGTATCCATGACATGAAGACCAAAAAGACACCACCAGTCTGGAAGGGCCCAAAGACTAATGATACAGCCAGGCCAGGAGACTGCAATGGCAATTGCTATGGAATACACCAGTACCACTAGCAAGTTCTGAACACAAGAACATCAGAAAAGCCCTGCTGAATTGGCCCAAAGGTGGCCCTTCTAGTCCAGCAACCAGTTCTCACAGCAGCCAACTAGATGCTCCAACGGGAAGCCCATAAGCAGGACGTGACTGCAGTTGGTTGTGATTCCCAACCAATGACATTCAGGGGCAAACCAACTCTGAATCCCTAACCCAAAGACTGCTACATGGACAGTGAATGCAATGCTAGGATTGCTTTTCCCAGATGCAAAGTCAGCCAAAGCAGAAATGCTACCCGCAGTTTTTTCAAAAACCCCACTGAAAGCAGCTTTAATGCTTTCAATTGACCATAGTTATCTCTGAACAAATCATAATGTTTTTGCAGAATTTTTCCTCCCTCTCCAGATTGGGGGTGAAGTAGTCTGGTGCTGAAAAGCTTACAAAATGTTCCAGTGTAGCCACCAGCTAAATGGGCTGCAACCTGATCATTACAGCAGGGGTAGGGAACGTCCAGCTACTGTTGAACGACAAGACTCATCATCCCTGACACCTGGCTATGCTGGCAGGGGGTGATGGGAATTGGAGTCCAATGACAGTCAGGGGCTACAGGTCTTCCAGCCCTGCATTGCAGGATGAGAGGAGGCAAAATAGGACACTTCAAACTGGACTGAGCAATGAGTCAAGGTAGGACAGCTTTCAGCTGCAAGGGCATGGACCATCATCAGAACAAAATCAGGTAGCTTCATCGGCATAAAACCTGACCCATCAGAAAAGTTGTAGCAGCCCCCAGAAGGCAACAAATTGGTGTTTTTAACAAAAAGCACTTCAAAGTGCTGTAAAAAGAAGTGGGCCTTCGGGGAACAACCTACCTCTTCGGTCTCTCGTTCAAGCTGGTGCTACGAGCCCGGAAGCTGTCTTTCTCTGGTGTATCATCAAAAGAGAGGAGGACATTTGATCGCAAACCCTGTCATAAAGAGAATACAAAGAAGAGTTGAAAGTTGCTATTATTATTATATTTACATTCATATCCCGCCTTTTCCCTGGAGAGGGACTTAAGACAGCTTACACAAATTAAAACAAAATACAATGGTACCTCGGGTTACCAACAATTTGGGTTACAAACACTTTGGGTTACAAACTCTGCTAACCCAGAAGCAGTTGCTCCGGGTTAAGAACTTTGCCCCAGGATGAGAATGGAAATCGCTCACCAGCGGTGCGCCAGCAGAGGGAGGCCCCATTAGCGAAAGTGCGCCTCAGGTTAAGAACAGTTTTGGGTTAAGAACGGACCTCCAGAACAAATTAAGTTTGTAACCCGAGATACCACTGCACAAAAAGCTAAAAACATATAAAAGAAAAACCGTAAAAAATAATTCAACTGTAATGGAGTTAAAACAATATAAAATACAACTCTATTAGAATACAGGTAATAAAAGCAATGAAAACAGCACAATTAAAAACAGTTTCCTTAAAAACCAGCCAGTTCTTGAACGCTGTCAGAATTGGACAGTCTTCCCCTGCCAGCGGAAGGACAAGGAGAAAGCCAGTCTGGCTTCTCTAGGAAGAGAGTTCCAAAATCCAGGAGCAGCTACTAAGAAGGCCCTCTCTCTTTCCCCCCACCAAACTGGGCCTGTGAGGGTGGCAGGACTGAGATCTTTGAGTCCAGGAATGGAGAAGCTGTGGTCCTCTGGCTGTTGTGGACTCCAACTCCCATCATCCCTGATCACTGGTCATGCTGGGCGATGGGAGTCCAGCAACATCCAGAAGACAGAAGGTTCCCTTTCCCTGGCTCAGTCTCTGTCCCCAAGCAAATTCCTCCAAGCCTTAATCCCTGTCTGCCTTCTGCTAAGATGTTTGGCTGGAGCCATATAATGACCCGGTTCACACATAATGCTAAACCAAACTGTGCAAAAGCACCAGCTCAAGAGTTCCTGGAGAAGGAGGAGGAATCTGCACTCCCCTGCTTCCAGGTCCTCCTGCTAATGTACTGCTATGAGTCAAGCCATGGTTTGGCTGAGTACATCACCCAAACCTGAACCTGTGGTTTGCTTCCTCAAGACAAATCACAAACTGTAAAGCTCAAGAACAAAATTTAGTGTGGACCAGCCCACTGAGAATCTACGCCACATTGAAAAACCACCCCAAAAACATAGTCCCGTGGTGGAACAGGGCAAGAAGTTTCCTCCTCTGTTTTGTGGACTGCTCTGGAGGCGGAGCTCACCACAGAGCGGCAGCATCCGTCATGGTCCCATCCTGTTCCCTGACTCCTGTCCGGCATGTCAGCTCTTCCCCTGTGCTTCTCAGGCACAGCAACAAGCTTACCTTGGTAATAAAGGGGACAAAGTCTTTCCGAAAGGGAAGGCGGCACTTGATAAACCACATGGCTATGACGTGATGCGCCAGGCACACAATGTACTGGTTAAACCTGGAAGGCATTCAAGGGGAATGATCATGTTATGGCAAGATGCAATGCTTAAAATAGTATATATGTTAATTACTGTGCAACACATCATTAGCATCACACTGTGATATTACTTATACTAGCTGGAAACTTAGAACATAAAAAAGGTTGAGGGGAATGTTTCTATTTAACAACAGGATTTAAAGTGTGCAATCATGGAAAGGCACCCAAACTCCCCACTGAAGGCCGAAAAATAAAATTTAAAGAGAAAGGCTGACAAACACACGCCATTTGTTGTGCAGACTGGAGAAACAGAGAGGACAACAGTTACGACAGATGATGTATGGTGATGTATGGGAGGGAGTTTTGCCTTGGTTATAGCTTATAGCAGCCTTTCCCAACCTGGTGGCCTCCAGATGTTTTGGGACTACAACTCCCACCAGCCTCAGCCAGCACATCCCACAAAACAACCACCACAACCCACCCACAACTTACTTGGAGGGGTTTGTGTAGGGCAAGGAGATGGCAAAGACGCTGGCGTACTGTTCAGCTGCAAAATTCCTGTAGAGGGCAGGCAGACGGGCCAATGCTGGGATTGGGAAAAGAGGAAACAGTAAAAGAGTCTGGCTGCAGATGGGATGGCTAGCAGAAACCCACTTCACACACACCTTGTTTACAGGGGGGCTGGTTTGGGCATGGTTAAAACACACCCAAACTGTTCCGTCACAGGTACAGGTTTCTCCAGCGTGAATCACAGAGGTCACCACCATGTGCTTATAATCTGGATGCCTCTCTGGAGCATGGGTGGGGAAACACCATCCTAGAGGCCAAATGCGGCCCTCCCTATCCAGCCCTTGTGACTCTCCCTGGAGCTTAGCCGCCTCTGCTGCTCTGCATCCCTCTTCAGATGCTTTGCCCTGGCTGGAATGCTTTGTCCTTGGACTGTAATAAAGCCTCTTGCCCAGATGGAGGGGCGGTGGCTAGAGCAGAACCCGCTGCACAAAAGATCAGTTGCACTTGTTGCTCTGCCTACTCACTGCAGACATCTGGACCCCAGGAGGTTGCCCAGGAGAGAATGTGGCCCTTGGGCTAAAAGAGCCCCTCACCCCTGCTCCAGATCCAAAGGACACAATTAGCTCCACGTGCAACAGGGGGCTTCTGACTTGGTTTCCCCAAACCACCCACCATCCCTCTCACACTACATAGCAAGACACATGCAGGGTTTGGAAGGCTTTCTAAATCAGATTTATGTTGTGGCACAGCTGGGGGGGGGGAGCTGCTGCTTTTCAAAAAGTCGCAGAAAGAAACTTTGACTGTACCGAATAAGAAGCTAAAAAGAGCCTTCTGGATCAGGCCAGTGGCTCATCTAGTCCAGCACCCTGTTTTCATAGTGGTCAACCTGATGCCTCTGGAGAAACCCGCAAACGGGACCTGAGCACAAGAGCCCTCTCCCCTCCTGTGGCTTCCAGCAATTGGTATTCAGAAGCATCGCTCCCTCTGACCATAGAGGCAGAGCAGAGCTGTTATGGCTAGTAGCCATGGATAGCCTTATCATCCTCCACAGACTTGTCCAATCATCTTTCACACCCATCCAATCTACCTACAGATTTTCAAAAATTGCACAGAGGGAAAGCAAAGGTCCCTTCCTCTCCTGAGCTGTAATTCACACGCTGAAAAGCAAGAATGGAATATGCATACACTTACTTGAAAGGAATTCCAGGAGGGGGATGGCCATGTTGGCCGTAGCTGATATATGTGTCAGCTTGACTATTAGGACAGGCAGGGCCTTGATGATGATATCTGGCATCTCAACGCTGCAGATGGAGAGAGCCACGACACACTGGTTGGCACAGCGAGAGATCAAGCCGTGCTCCAGGCAATACACCATCTCCCGCTGGGTGAAGGCAAAGACACAAACAGAACATTACCAAGCATTCAGTTCAAATGCGTTTATAGGTACTTCGGTGCAGGGCTCTCTGGGTGTCCCTTTTAATTTAACAAAATTCACACATGACTATATGAACAAAATTCATAGCTTGATTGTAATAAAAGCTCCAAATGGTTTGTCTCCGCCCCGCCCCCCCAAAAAAACAACACCTACGTTAAAATGATTGTAAAAGCCAGTTAAAAAATATATAAACAGTAAACTAAAAAGAGATTATCATACACGTTAGCATTCTACATTGTTTGGATAGGTCTGCCTAAGCAAATATGTTTCAAGCAATAAGCAAGGACCACAGTGAAGGCACCTGCCTGGTGTCAACAGGCAGGGAGTTCCAGAGTACAGAGACTGCCACACAAAAAGATTGATGACTTACAAGTCTTTTGCTTCTTGTTTAATAGCTAAATGCAAGTCAAGGAAAGCCAAGCTCAAGTTAAGCCATATTTATTTATTTATTTGGCAGCAGTGTCCTTCTCCTGGCTCACCCACTGAGAACGTCCCACTCAGTTCCTGCGCATGCAATAATACCTGCTTGCTTTTGTCCAGGTGATTATGGTAAAAGATCAAAGTAGTCAGCACTGGAAACACAGCCAAATGCAAATCGTTACGGGAGAAAGTTTCCGGGGTGCCCTGCAGGCGCTCGGTCATCTTTTTGTCTGTAAGCTGGCGGCACACACAAAAAGTCACTGCTACAGAATCCAAAGGGAGGCACCCACAGGTTACCCACTCCTGTTCTCCATTGTTGCAACCCACCCGAGGGCCTTACAGTGAATAGCAGACAAGATATTCAGCAAACGACAACAGGCTTCTCCACTGGAGAGCTCTCCCATGACACTAATGCATGCCACAACTGTAGGGCAACCATCAAAAGCTCCCTAATGTGGACCTTTGTTGTCCCAATTGGATGCTCGGAGGCACATTCTTACCATAGAGCAGAGGGCAGAAGACAGCTGGTCAATGTTGCAAGGGGATGTTAAGTAAAGCACTTTGTACTGCAGAGACTCCGGTAACTTGTTCAGAACCAGCTTCAGCACCTTCCAGTCTGTCTCCTACAAACGAAAAAAAGGAAAGAGACACTCAGGGGAGCAGGGGAGTTCAAGGGTGGCATGGAAAGAACTGCAGCCCGGCTGCAAATCACACTCTTTGGGCAGATAGAATGCCAGGCTCCATCTCCAGGAAGCAAGGCTGCAACCATGCGGCTACATTAAGCAACCTTTGCCAGAGCGGTGCTCCCAATGTCTTGACCTAAAACTCCCATCAGCCCCAGCCAGCCCAGCCACATGACCTTGGGGTTGACTTGAGCATGGGCATGCTGGCTGGGGCTGATGGGAGTTGTAGGCCTGAACACTGGGAGGGAACCAAGCTGGTATAAAGTCAGCATTCATATCCCCATTCCTGATTGGCAACTAGACTCTTCCAGCAGGACTTTTATTTTTAGTTTTCACTAAAAATGACTAGGTTTGATATGCAATGCTCCATATGCACTTCAGCATGATGTGCAATGTCTTTCGTAAGGCACTACTCTCAAAATAAAATAGCATGCCAGTGATGGGCAGGGCCAAAGAAGGCAGAGCCATGGATGGGTTATGGAGAGTCCCAAGGGCCAGAAAGAGAGCTGGAGGGCCACATCCAGTTCCCCATCCCTGATCTGCAGCTTGGGATCCAGTTACCAGGTTTTGGTTCATCACTCACTTGCTTCAAGCACTGGAGGAGGACTCCAAAGAAAACGGAGTAAGGTAAGTGGCCCATACGAATGCCCGTGCTCTGGGGAGGCACACTGGGGCTTCCCGAGGGAGGGGAGAGGGTGCCGGCAGGTTTCTTCTCTGGTTCCCTGTGACATAAGAAGAAGGAAAAATCAGCCTGCTGCCAGACCATAGCGTCTTGAAGAAGCACAACTGACAACTACCTTACGAAGAACCCATGTTCCAAGTGGCTTTATTTATCTTTAAAGTATTTACATGCCACTTGTCCGTGCAAAGTGGATTAACAATGATAAAAACCCATTACAACACACACACACACCCCATTACTACCAAAACCCTTTAAAAGAATGGAAACCCATTCAAATCTTCCAATCACATAATCTACTATCCTTAATCCAGTAAATGGGAGAAAGCTTACTCATGCGAAGGCCAATTGAAACAAATAGGTCTTTAAAGGCCTTTCAAAACCCCTGAAGTGTCACTGCCCAGTGCAGACCTACTGGGATTTCCAAAGGCACAAGGGCCACCACTGCAGAGCTAGAGGCTGGACCCACCAATTGAATTGAGATTTCAATTTCTGGGCAGCATGGTACAAGGGAGCCTCAGATTAGAACATAGCAGAACTACTTTTGGGAAACAGTGGCTACAATCAGACAAAACCTACAAAAAATCGCAGAGGCAGTAGGGGCTGAATTTCATGAGCCCTTCTTTGGTAGCCAGGCCCAGTCGGTGGAGAGAGTCAGCCCGAAGCGAGAGCAAGAAGTCAAATACCTAAACATAAGCAAGAGAAAAATAATTAGCCTAGCCTTCCCCCACATGCTCCACGGCAGGTTCAGAGATCTTCTCAATCCAATCCAAGCAGTCCTGCAATGTTCCTAAAAGATGGTTGCACTTCAAGCAGCAGGGAGTTCCACAGGAGCAGAAGAGCGACACGAGACATCAGCTCTGCAGGCTAAGGGCCTAACCACGGGGCCTAACCACGAGGCCAAGCAAGCCATTTGCCACGACTCACCAGACGCAATTTACCACCAGCAGGAGTGGTGAAATCCGTAGCAGCAGCAAGACTTGCAAGGCTCTGTATGAAATGCCACTCCTCCCCTTTGCCCCTGCCAGCAGGTCAGAGCACTCAAGAAAGAGGAAGGAGCACTTTGGACTGAACCATCCTCTCTGCCAAACCCAGCACAGCAATGGTAGGAAAAAATGAACTGAGCAGAATGTGCAAGGTATAGGAATTGCCTATTCCTCCCGTCCTGGGAGGAATTGCCCATCTCTGGGTGTCCTTCTCCATCAGACAGGGAAAAAATGTATTTATTGATAGGACATAAAAGAGAGAGTGTTATCCAAGACATTTACAGGTAGGGGCTGAGGGGTATGGTCATGTGACAGTTGGGGGAAAGCACACTCTGTTAAACACTGAGCATGCAATTAAGTTCCTCAGAATAATTGAAAAAGGGAGGGGGAGGAATTCAGCCCTTGCTTGAAAACTGCGTGGGTATTGCCTGCTCAAATCTTAGAAGCCAAAGGGAGGGAGGAAGTACAGTTGGTGAAGTGGGCTGGGGGAGATCTCTGTGCCCTGCATCACACCCATTGCTGCATCTCAGGACTTAACAAAATCAGAACAAACTTCTGGAAAGTTAGCAGCAGTATCCCCTTGCAAGCACCATTTGGAGCCAGTTCTCTCCTCCTTGTCATCTTCCCTGCAAGTCTTGCAAGTTTGGAGGTGGGACTGAGAGACGCACAGATTCCTCACCTGCAGCCGGATGCTGCTGGCGACTGGGAGGCTGTATCTGTGTTTATAGTGGAGCTGAATGTGGAGGATCAACATCTCATAGACGCGGGTGGCGTGGCTGGGGGGGAAACTGTAGAGTTTTGTCTGAAAGGAGGAAAGCAAGATGTTGTCAAGAGGAAAGCCAGAATTTATTTATTTTTAAACTAAAAAGCCCAAGAGGAAACCACCCCGGGGCTCAACAACCTGGTCACTTACCTGGAAAATGACCAGAAGGCCCAGGACTGCTGTCTTCACATCTTCTAAAGAAGCAGAGTAAGACAGCAAGTCTCTTTCCTCTAGTTCAGCGGGAGGCAGCAGGGAATGGGAAGCAACCTTTTCAGGGAGAGAGAGCATACACAAGCTTTGCAGAGGGCCAAGGCCCGCAATTACATAAGGACTGCAAAAAAAGTGCTAGGATGGCAAGAATAAATACCCCTGGCAACAGCAGAGCTACATAAAGTATACAAAGCAACAACACCCACATTCATCCCATACATTTAAAGCACTACGATGCCACTGTCATGGCTTCCTGCAAAGGATCCTGGGAACTGTAGTTTGTTAATGGTGCTGAGAGCTGTTAGCAGACCTCTCTTCCTCTCCCGGAGCGACAATCCTCAAGTGGTTTAACAATCAATCCATATTCACTGGGAACGACTGGGAATTGCAGCTTGTGGAGGTCTCTGAGTAACTCTCAGCACTCTTAACAAACTACAGCTCCCAGAATTCTTTGGGGGAAGTCAGGACTGTTTAAAGTAGCATCATAGAGCTTTAAATGTTGTGAATGAGTCCTGCATCTCTCTAGAAGAAGCAAAATGGTATCTTTGCCTGGACCAACAGGCTGATTTGGAGGTTTTCCATGCTTGTGAACCCAAAAGGAGTTTCATATGTGAGTTTTCAGATCTGATAATCGGCTATTTTATAGCTGTTATGTCTCATCCACGAAAATAGGACAGATTCCATTTTCATCAGACTTCACATGAATATGCTAACATGTGCTGCAGCATAGCCAAGCTTGGTTAGGTGGCTAGCTGTGTCCATAACACCCAGTGACATGCCATCTGGTTCTTCATTTTCAGAGATTTCAGTGGAGTTGCTACCCACACTTCAGGAAATCTTAATACTCTAATATTTGTAGGTTTCATAACCAAGCCATTGTCCTGACAACTACGGAACACTGAAGAAACAAATAATTTGTTGATTGAAGGTTTCTACCCTGATCCAAAACAGAGCACCTGATGATGCCTATGCAAAATTAAACGGCAAAGGTCTTTAGATCATTACCTGAAATTGACACACTGCCATCCCCCATGTAAAAACACTCTCAGCTTTGCAAAACCAAACAGGATATTCAAACCAGCAAAGCTCCTCAAGTTCATAGTGCAAATCCCTCCCCAAAGCACAATTTCTTCCCTGGTTTTTGACACTTCCTGAATCCAGGCACAGCTCCTGCTGCCAAAGCCCAGAGCTGATCTGACAGCTGCCTCACCTTCTCTATGATATCCAACAAGCTGTTGAAGTGGTGGGAGGTGCAGCCTTCTGCCAGGTCCACCAGCAGCTGGGTGGCCAGTTTGCGGACTTGGTGGTCTTTGTCTTCTTGGATGTGGGCCAGCTGGGAGAGGACCACCAGGTTAATCAACTCCTCCTGCAAAGGGACAAGACTTTTGTGAGCTGGCTAAGACAGAGTGGTCTAACAAGGCTGGTAAAAGAAAGAGGTGGAACATTGATTTTGACAGTTGTGCTAATACTGTATTAGTAATTTTTCACTGTAGGTTTCTACTGTTTCTATAAACGTATGGTGAATATGTTTTATGAAAAACTAGGGTAGAAATATTTTAAATGCACTAGAATGAAGATAAAATTGAGAAGGTGCAAGCCAGGAAGCTGGGGGAAGGTCCAGACAGCTCTTTAATTGAGGGTGTCAAAAAGTCAAATGAAGGAATGAATTTTATTTAATACAAAACATAGTTCAACAACATGTAAGAAATAAGGAAATGAAAATACAAGGGAATGAAACATACAAAAAAATGTAAAAAATTAGGTCCTTGTATTCATGATCCATGGAAAGTATAATAATTATTGGTATTGGAGGGTAGTAACGTGTCATTTTTAAGGTTGGTTTTAGTTATTAGGATGTTGTCCTAGTGTGAGGAGGTATGCTATTCTCATTTGAAGCTGAAGAGCTACTAAGAATTTTAAATAGTGGCATATTTCACCAGATGAATTTGAACATAGTTGTCATCATGTGCATACATAATATATATTTTTGTGGTTGAAAACTCTTCTTCTTTTTTTTGTGTCCTCTGCTGCCATTTTGTTTTTCTATCTTGATAGAAGTTCAAGGAAGTGACCTTCTGCCAGACTTAAACATGTGTCTGACATCACCCAAAGAACATTTCTCAGAGTGAAAATGAAAACTCACCTCATAAATCTGCCTATTGACGCTCAAGACGAAAGAGAGAACATGCAGAACTTTGATGCGAATAGCACTCCGTGTCTCATTCCTGAGGAGGAAAAAGGGACAATGGTGTTTTCAAAAAGGAGGAGGAGCCCAAATCATCTGGGTTGTGACCAACATCCAGAGGATGGAAAGTCAGAGATGTGAGGAGAGGAGCCACAGGTAAGAGCTGCAGGGTCCCTACCTGAAGAACTTGTCCATCAGCCCCTGCAGCTTCTGGATCCAGCTGTCCTTCGCGGGGTGGATGGACTGAGCTCGGTAGGTGATCAGGTTCAGAACAGAAGATTCCTTTTAAGCAAAAGGAAAGGCAGGCCAGTACTTAAAAAAAATCCAAGTTCAACAAAGTAAGATTGTAAACTGAGGATTACTCATATATAAAGGGTGATCTGTCATCACTTTATTAAATGGTAGTGGAAGTCCCATGCTCAGTGGCAGAGCATCTGCCTTGCATGCAGGAGGTCCTTGGAGGTCCAGGTAGGGCTGAGAATGGCCCTTGTCTAAAACCAGAGTGGCCCTGCTCACCTGCCCCCAAAAATCCCCCCTGAAGGGCAGCTTCTGGATCCACCCCTCCCCATCCCTTGCAAAAGAAAAGACTTTAGTTCCCTGTGCCCCTCCGCTGAGTGCTCTTTAAGGAAGTCCTAAGGAAACAACAGGAAATTTCTCAAACATTGCCATGCCTTACAGGTCTCTGACTTGCACATTTCTCCACAAGCTCAAAGTAATGTTTCTTAGAGCCATGGAAGTCATTCTGGTCACATAGCTCCTCCACCGTGGTCAGCAAGTCATGGACAATGGATTTCAGCTCTGGGCTCTCCAGGGTCTGAAAGGAAGAAAACACAACTTGATTAGCCCTCGAGAATCTCAGTGCAGTCATTTGCAGGCTAAATCAAGACAAAACAACTTTTATCACACTACATGTGCATCAGTTAAGTTACCAATGCTGGAATATCTGTGTTATCAACGACTGTTTCTTGCCAATGGTTCCCTGCCCCACTACAAGTATTAATACAATCATCTCAGCCATGTCACCAATTGGCAACAATAAAAAGGGTGCCTATGTTAACATGGATTTAAGCTCTAATTATCACATTCCATTGTAATTCAACTTCCACCTTACAATTTTCTTCCCCATATATCTGCCAACTAAGATTTCACTTCATATACGTAATGAAGTGGGCTGAGTCCACAAAAGCTTACCCCATTTAAAAAACTGTGATGTCTTTAAGGTGCCACGAGACTCTGAATGTTTTAACTCGGAAGGAAGTGTCAGAGTCTCCTATGCCTCTATCCTTTATTGATGCTTGGAAAGACACAGAACAGGCAGGTGCAGGCTAGAAATTAAAGAAAGTGAAACCCTTCTCTAATCCTACTCCAAAAACTCTGCCACTTTGCACCCCTCCCCCCAGAACACATCCAAAATAGCCTCTTTAAATTCTATTGCATGGTGTTAGAACAACGGACATTGATTCTGTGAGACCTTATGGCTGCAGAGACTACTATTGCAAGGCTGGAAAAATAAGCACTCAACCCAGTCAGATGAGCGGCGTATAAATATCATTATTATTATTATTATTATCATCATCATCGCCATCACCATCATCTGCTATTCAGCAGTCTGAAGATTTTACTGCCCTTTCTGCGCCTGAAAGTATAGCTTATCATTTTTGCTCTCATTTGGATGCCATTTGGACATATGGAGTGGGACGTGGGTGGCACTGTGGGTAAAACCTCAGTGCCTAGGACTTGCCGATCGTATGGTCGGCGGTTCGAATCCCCGCGGCGGGGTGAGCTCCCGTCTTTCGGTCCCAGCTCCTGCCCACCTAGCAGTTCGAAAGCACGTCAAGTACAAGTAGATAAATAGGTACTGCTTTATAGCGGGAAGGTAAACGGCGTTTCCATGTGCTGCGCTGGTGCTGACTCGCCAGAGCAGCTTCATCACGCTGGCCACGTGACCCGGAAGTGTCTGCGGACAGCGCTGGCTCCCGGCCTCTTAAGTGAGATGAGCGCACAACCCTAGAGTCTGTCAAGACTGGCCCGTACGGGCAGGGGTACCTTTACCTTTACCTTACTGAACATATGGACTTTCTATATTAATATGTTTAAGTCAGAATATTTTTATTCGCAATGCCAGCTGGTGATGGTTCTCTTTTTTCTGTTACGTTTGCAAAAACAGTATTAAAAATAAAACAAAAGGGGCTTCCCATTTACCTGCAGCTGCTCGAGCAGCCGCTCGATGATATTCAGGAGGATGTCCCAAGTGACTGCCTGGAGGTCCTTCCCATATTTTTTGATCAGTCTTGTGATGGAAAGGACTATTTCATAAGACACAATGGTATTCGGACTCGTCATGGCCTGGAAGGGGGAGAGAAAGCCCCAAGTAAGGAACTGACATATTGGGACCACCTGAATGACTGAGGGCCCATTTGCTGGTTCCACTGGGTTAGGACACTTCAAGAAGGAAGCGCCCAGAAAAGTATGTTATGTGCCATACAACTGGAGTAGTCAGAAGGGAGATCAAGGTTTCCTGGAAGACCTCCCAAGTAATTCGTAGAGCAGAAACTCCCAACAGTTGGGAGTTTCCAACTCCCAACAGTTGTAACAATAGCGACAACAAAAAGTATTTTCCCCCTTCTAGTCTGCTGAAATCGGGAAAGCTTGGGTTCCCAGACTGTGCTCAGAGCACAGTCCCACACTTTGCAATTCTATGCCCACCTTCCTTACCCATGATTTTGCTCCTGGTTTTAGGTGATGCACCTCATGGCTTATAGTGAAAAGGTAGATTCCACTAGCCTGAAGGCTATGCAACCCTGCCATCCAAAACTAATAACGTGTGTGGGAAAACTGCCAGAGAGACTTCAGGTGCACAAGCAAGATCAGAAAGTGCAGCCTGCTACTCAGGAGTAAAGAAAGGAACTTCTGAGCCCTGGCAAACTCACTATAAAGACAATTTGCAGCCAAAAGTGAAAAGGCTGTAAGTGATGCAACTGAACCACAATGAACGGAAGTGTGGTCACAGATGAAACAGCAGGCTGTGACTGCAGGTATCTTTGGTTTTCCCCAACAAACCTCTGTCCTTGCTGCTTGTGAAGCTTTGTCACAGAAAGAGAAACAGCAATCTTTTCAACCGTTATGGAGAGGGTCTTCAGCTCAGTAGCCCATAGGTTCCCTCTGAATTCGCGTTCCCCAAGATTTGTTTATTGCATTTTATCCTTTCTCTGAGGAGCACTGTACAGGGATCCTCTCACAACAACCCTATGAGGTAGGTTAGTCTAAACCAGGGGTAGGCAACCTAAGGCCCATGGACCACAAGCGGCCCATGGACCACAAGCGGCCCATGGGGGTTGTTTAACCAGCCCATGAGCCGCCCCCAAACCAAGCCACCCGCTCAGCGAGTCCCCACGCGCTGCACTAAACCGGCGCAGCACGGAACAGGGACTCGGTTCCGCAGCACCGGAAATCATGAGTGTGCATACTTACGCACGCGCACAATCCGGCCCATGGAAAGATCTTCGCTGGAGTGAACCAGTAAACCTTGCCGACCCCTGGTCTAAGAGGCAGTAATAACCCCAAGGTCACCCAGCAAACTTCACACCTGAGCCAGGATTTAAATCTAAACCTCCACCATCTATCACCCGCATGACCCTGATGCGAAGGGCTCAGAATTACCTTCAGAAAGGAGGGCAGCACTGAAGTTGGTGAATTCCTGAGTGACGGCAGCCTGTGCGCTCCCCACAAAGCCATGCCCACGAAAAACACAGCCCCTCTCAGCAGTGCGGCATCTACCATGTAGGTCCTGCAAACATGGGAATTTTGACCACGATTAGTGGGTTCAGGATCTTCCTTAAATCAGTACCAGTGAGAAAGGGGGAGGGAGGGGCCAGAGCCATCTTTCATTTTTTCCCCTCCTATCAGCACAAGTCCACTCCTCCTGACCTCCTTGCGGTGCACACCTGGCCCTATGGGGTCAGTGTCATCTGGATTTCTAAAACTTCCAACAGTGTTGACGATATACAGGCAACTCCCCATTTAAGCGCATTCAAGTCACACATGGACGTGCGTCGCTGCAAACCTGCAAGTGGCACGAAAATGAGCAAAAACGGCCCTAAAAGAGAGAAGAAACAGCAAAAAGGGTGCAAAAAACAGTGTCTAGCAATCCCACAAACCTCTGCAAGTGCAAACTCAGGAGGCCTATGGAGAGTTTGAGCAAGGAGGTTTGGAGGGAGCGATTGTGGCGCTTGCAGGCTTTTTCAATTGTGTTCCAAATATATGCGATTTCACTTAAACGTGCGGTGTCTCAGATCATAACCCCTGTGTAAATGGGGAGTTGCCTGTAGTAGGACTTGGGGAATAAATATCAAGAGCTCATGCTCTTCTCTCTGTCGGGATAGCTGCTAAGACAGCCCTATCCAAGCCTTCCTCAGTGAACCGCCACTGAGCATTGGTCTCACAAAGCATTCCATGCAAAGCTTGCAAGTCCAGCTGCCTGCTCTGGGATGTCAAGAGTGGGGTACCCCTGTACCCCTACAATCTTTGGGGCAGCATTAAAGCAGTTCTCTTGTACCAGCGTGGCACCCAACTTTGCGCTTGCTCCCGTCCCCAGGGAAAGCAGAGGTTTCAGCAGGTGGCACAGAAGTACCTGTCCTCCATGATCCGGCACATGTTGTAAATGGCACTGTGCCCCAAGTGAGTTCCTAACAGATTGCGCATGAGCTGAAGGACAAACAGAAGCATGTTGTTAAACGGAAGCAAATCCCTCAGAATTCTGCACACGCACATACATGCATGAACACACACACAAACTGACAAAAAAAAAAAAAGAAATGCACAAAATTTATGCCCTGAAAAAATTATAGAAAGTGCAAAGTCTGGTACAAAACCCTGCAGTAGCAATAAGGAATCTATACAAGATTTGAACAATTCTAGTTGCAAGATAATGAATCATCAAGTTTAGCAGTTTGGAAAAGATAATGCAAGAATGATCTTGGTGCAAAACACCACCTTTGGTTTTTCAGCACAGTGAATGCATGCAGAAGCCTTGGGAGTAGCTGTACCTCCTGGGGGTGGACTAGATGTCCCTTGGCATACCTTCCAACTATGCAATTTGGTGAGTCTATGTTTCTATAACTCAACAGCGGGCAGAAGTTTCTGATGCTAAGAACCGTTGATACAGTGGAGCAGACTACCTGAGAAGGTGGTGGACTCTCCTTCACTGGAGATTTTAAAGAAAGGTCTGATCGCCATCTGCCAAGCATTCTTTAGCTGGGATTTCTGCATTGCAGAGGGTTGGGCTAGATGACCCCTGGGGGTACCTTCTAACTCTACAGTTCTATGAATCTATTTAGCCTACACGGCTAAATAGCTTCCTATATTCAGCCTTTTCTCCCCCAGGACCACCGAACTGCCTTCTACCCAGAGAACTGGCAAGATAACGGACCTTCCAGCAAGGCTCACAGAGTTCCTTCACGTTGATCGTCCGGCACAAGGTGATTATGAAGACTGGGAGGGTTTCCGAAGGCAAGCAGTTGTAGCACACCACGGCGTCAAGGACCTGCAGGGAAACCTGGGAAGGGGGGAAAGGAATGTGATTGCCTTGGAACAGTATCATTAATCTTATTTATTTCAGGTACTTTTAAAACATTTAATTTTCAGGATTTCCATATGAAATACATGAAGTGCTTTTTAAAAAAGAAATACAAAGAACAAGAACGATTAATATTTTTTTTTAATGCACTTTTTTTCCTCTGATGAGCTTTAAGTAGTGTACACGGTCCTCCTAAAGGTAAAGATAAAGGGACCCCTGACCGTTAAGTCCAGTCGCGAAGGACTCTGGGGTTGCGGCGCTCATCTCACTTTACTGGCCAAGGGAGCCGGCATTTGTCCGCAGACAGCTGGTCATGTGGCCAGCATGACTAAGCCACTTCTGGCGAACCAGAGCAGCACACGGAAACGCTGTTTACCTTCCTGCTGGAGCGGTACCTATTTATCTACTTGCACCGGTATGCTTTTGAACTGCTAGGTTGGCAGAAGCTGGGACAGAGCAATGGGAGCTCACTCTGTAGCACAGGTTCAAACTGCCAATCTTCCAATTGGCAAGCCCAAAAGGGCTCAGTGGTTTAGACCACAGTGTCACCCGCGTCTCTAATCCCCACAACAACAGGCTAGGCTGTATTAGGCTAGATGAGAGGCAGTGACTGAGCTCAAGGTCAGTCAGTGAGCTTCCTGGCATAATGGGGATTTGAGCCCTGGTCTCTCAGGTCCTAGTCCAACACCCTAACCACTTTATCACGCTGGCTCTCAAACAGACAGAAACAAACAAACAGAGAACTACCTTTACATGCCTGCTGAACCAGGAAAATCTTAGTCATGCATCTGAATTCAACAGCAAGGGGAACTCTCTAATTTCAGTAGGAAGAGAGTTCCACAGCCGAGATTTTACAGTCCAGCATCAACTCTGTCCCAAACCACAACCCCACTGCTAATAATCAAGAGAAGGGGAATACTGTTTCCACTTGAGACAACAAACAACAAATTAACAGAATAAGTTGGTTCCAAAGAGGGATTGTTGAGACAGAAAGGTTTGACAACCCAGAGGATTCTGGAGGGAATTCCAGTCATGGGAACCAGAAGGGAGAATGGGTAGAAGTGTTTTAAGAAAGCACCACCACAAATATTGCTCTCCTATTTATAATGGCACTTTGTCCTAACACCCATAGTATTACACATAACTACTGACCTCAATGTCAACTGCAGAAGATGTCTGAATGCATAAGAGGCAAATCATGCTGTAGGAAAGAAAAACATAAAAGTAAAGATCTAGCCCTCCAGGGCAAAATTTCTAAACCTACGGGATCAACCCTACCAGGAAGCCCACGCCATCCCAGAGATACAAGAGCTGGTTGCCCTGACCAAATTCTCCTTCATCAACATGTACTTATGATTAGGCACATAGGAAGCTGCCTTCTACCTAGTCAGACCATTGGTCCATCTAGCTCAGTATCATCAGCACTGATTGGCAGCAGCAATCCAAGGTGTCAGGCAGGGGTCTTTCCCAGCCCTACCTAGAGATGAAAATATGGGGTTCGCATGGAGGTCAGACTGCCAATTTAACCCTCAAACAGGGTTTCTTAGAACCAACAGAAGGTTTAAAGATTAGCCTTACTTGACCATGTCAGCGATATATTCATCCAAGTAGCAGCTATTGAACTTGACTAGGTTGACCAGCACCAGCAGGAACTCTGAATCCAAACCAATATCCATCCACTGAAGGACAAATTCAGCTGAAGGAGAAGAAAAGAGGAATGCAGCCTGGAAACAAAATCACTACAAATTAACTTGTTTTCAACTTGCTGTAACACCTCCTGTTTTCTGAACCCCAGAAGGTGTTTCACAGCCGTGACAGATGTACCTCTCGTGCTTCCACCTGACCCATCCAGATATTCACCAGACATGTCTTATTGCAGGGACATCAGAACCGCCTTGCTGGACCAGGTCAAAGGTCCTTCTGGGTTAGCATTCTGCTTCCACTAATGAGCAGCCAAGTACTCCTGGGAAGTCCTCAAGCATGAAGGAAATACCACCAGCCCACCCACAAAGGAGACATATGCTGCTGTATTTATTTCATTGACCTTTAAACCTGCCTCGGTGTCAAACTATGTGTGTATGATTCAGATCTGGGATTCATTATTGGGGGGTTAACTTACAGGAACAAAGGAAGCTGCCTTATACCAAGTCGAGCCATTGGTTCCTTTTATTCAGTCTTGTCCATCTAGCTCAGTCTTGCTGACACTGACTGGCAGCAGCTCTCCAGGGTTGCAGACAGGGGACACTCCTAGCCCTACGTAGAAGTTCAGTTCAGTGACTGAACCGGGAACCTTCTACATGCAAAGCATATTAACTAAAAATATTTTTTGTATAGCACAAGTAAATTGAATGTTCCATTAACTAAGACACATTGCAGGTTTTGGTCACTCTCCTCTCTGAGCAAGAATTTGCCACGATTAAATTAGTGGCTAAAAAGGGGACATACCCAAATTTTCTTCCAAATACGTTACGCATTTTCCGTTATCCGTAAGAGCCTTGAACACTTCAAGCCGTTCGTGCATGTCTTCATTAGAAGGATAATCTTTAATCACTTTGAAAAAGTGAGCTCGGAGGATACCGAGCCCCTCGCCCTAAAAGATGAGAGGAGTGGCTTCTTGACAAATTGTGGCTACTGGAATTTGGAAATCATGTTTTCTGCTAGTCCATAGTCCCATTCACAGTGTCTAGGTTCTGCATGCCTCAGGTGCACTCTGTGTCTTACCTGCCCTTGAATAATTGCCTTCAGGAGGTGGAGCACAGCATGCCTGGCTTCAGCTGGTCGGTCGGGCTGCAGCATATCATCAACCACTTTCCAGATGGCTTCCACTGCATGCTGAGGGCACAGAAAACTCCAGGTTACTCCCCACATTCACACCTCACTGTCCATTGTGGGGAAGGGGCATTTTGGTGTAACTTCTTTATACATTCAACAGTTTTCTGCCCATGTACTCACATCTTCAAACTTTCTAGTTTTTGCTACCTCACAGATTTGACCGATTGCTCTTATCCGATTGTTCAAGCCAGATTCTACGCTCAGTTCCTGAAAGGAAAAGAAGGCAGCTTTAAACCATCACAAGTTGCTTGCAGCCCAAATAACCTCACAGCTTGTTTTTTATTTAAGATGTGTATGTGCTTTCTCAATGGCAACACTGAGCTCAAATAAAACAATTCCTCTGCTTTTGTGATCTCTTCTTGTGTGGGGTCATGGCCAATGATCAGCATATTGTCACCATACAAAGAGACTGCCAGAACTCTCAACAGCAAGCAAACAGATGGCACTAATCGTAATTCACAGGTAGATAAGTGCAGTGTCATCAAAAAGTGGAAATGGAAGAGTTTTGTCTGTCAGCAACCAGCCATCAGGCTCCTCTTTCAAGTGAGGAGGCTGAAGATTCTTGAACCAGAAGGGGAAGGGCACAGAGGGCCAACCCCAGGAGCACTGCTACTGGATAAGACAGTAGAACCAGCATCCCTCCAGACAGAGGATATGGCACTGCTATCCTCTGACATGAAGGACTCCACTGCAGATGATCCAATAAGGACAGAGGCAGTAAGAGGCTATTGGAAAAGGCTGGAGCGCTTTAGATAAAATATCACCTTCCAGCATGGGTGAAGCTAACACTTTGGATGTAGCCTCCACCTTATCTTGGACTTAGCCTCCATTTGAGCTTTTGTTAGCCTTGCCTCAACTGGTCTAGCACCCAGCCTGAGCCCTGCCTAGCTCTGTACCCATCCTTGGGCTTGCCACACCATAGAACAGGACACTGCCTCTCTGCCTCCTGTGTTTAACCTGCTTAGGTAGCCTTTGCCCTCTTTTAATTTCCAGCTCCTGATGTAAATCAGGCATCCAGTATATTCGTGTGTTACCTTGAGTATTTCTGCTGTGATAACAAATTCCGTTTGCTTTCCTTCTGATGACTTGGAATTAGATTTGGAATTCCCAAGTCCTAAGAGATTCTTGAACTTCTCCTTTAGGCCAGGATCTTTGCTTTGTGGCTTTGCCATCGTTAACTAAGAAAGAATCAAGGAACCTGTGTAAGTAGAAGACAGAGGATGGCACCGTCAGCAGAACATAGTCAACAGCCCCACGTTTCTTCATATAGTTAATGCAACACAGATGCTCCATAGATACACAGTGTGCTCCATACAAGCAGGGGTTCCACTCCTTGAAGACAGTGCCATGTGTGCATCCAATAGAATGCATAAGCTGCTCCAAGGGCTCAATGGGTGGAGTAGTTCCACATGCTCATCAAAGCACCTGCCAAGCACTGGATCGGAGCCTCATGTGACACAGACTGCAAAGCCAGAGTACATCATCCATTTATATTATGAGCGTATCATATTTGGAGTGGTAGAGCATTTGCTTTGCACACAGAAATTCCCAGGTTGAATCCTTGGCTTTTCTAGGTATAGCTGGGAATGTCCCCTCCCAGAAATGCTGGAAAGCCACTGCCAGTCAGTATTCTGAGCTAGATGGACCAAGGACCTGACTCAGTATAAGACAACTTCCTATGTACCCACAGAGAGTGAGTGTGGCATAGCAGTTAAAAGTGTTGTACTTGGAAGCCTCTGGTTCAATTCTCTCCTCAAGCACTGAAACTCACGGGGTGACTTTCAGCCAGTCATTCTGTCTCTCAGCCCAACCTATCTCACAAGGGCAGGGGGTGTATGCTGCCTTAGGCTCTTTGGAGGAAAGACAATATATAAATTTAATAAGATTCATAAACCATCTTCCAACTGAAATAGGAACAAAGTGACATGGTAAAGCAGGCATAGTCACTATAACTAAATCAAATGCCCCCATCACAATAAATTTGTTAGTCTTTGGGGGCAGGAGGGAGGCTATGCAAACCAAAGTCATAGAATCACAGAACTGTAGAGCTGGAAGGGGTCCCAAGGGTCATCTAGCTCAACCCCCTGCAATGCAGTAATCACAGCTAAATAATCAGATGGTCATCCAACTTCTGTGTAAAAACCTCCAATGAAGGAGAGTCTACCACCTCCTGAGATCATCTGTTCCATTGTCAAACAGCTCTCTTTTCTTTTAATAGATGGGGTGTTAGGAGAGGGACAATACTCTGGTGGAGGACACATGCTTCTTCTGAGGTAGTTTGTCCACCTTTGGTCCCCAACCTGCACTCAGCTCTCACCTGTGGCTCCTAGAAGCTGTCAGCATGCAACAGTGGCCACACCCCAGGAATGGCTTTGACTGGCCAGTTAAAGCAGGTGAGGGTAGCCCATGCGTCTCAAACCCTCAATGAGTTAGGGACTTTCCCTGCATGCAAAGACAGGCGCCGGTGGATTGAGACAAGACCAACTGTGGGTCCAACGGTCAAGAATGTGGTTTCTTCACATGCTGTAGTGACAGAAGTGAGGGGCAGATGGGGCTCATCAACCTGGGAAGGTAGCCCAATTAGAAGAAAGAAAACTCTGATTCTAAACCTCCACTGCCTTGTGGGATAACTTTGGGAGAAGAAAAGGCTAAGGAGTAAACGCTACATAAAACAAGAGTAGAGTCCCTAAGACGGTTGGAAGGCGCCTTGTACACCTCCCGGCAACTCATTGCAGCCAAGCTAGTGCCAAACATATTGCTCTGCTTTCCTTTGGACCACATCAGCAAGAAAGAGGGGGTCTTGCCATCTGGGCAGCCCAGGACTTCCATACACACTGCCCAGACTTGGGTCCAGGGGAGGTCACTTCAGTGCTGCTAATGCAGCGGTTTGACCACCTCTGGAGGTGCACTCCATTGTCTCTCAAGACAGATGCCAACTACTACTACTATTTCAGATTTTACTGAAACAGCTCTTATTTCATTTATTGTAGTTATCTTGAGTATTTTTCCACTATGCTACTCCCAACATAAAAGTGCTTTACAGTTCTTGTCCTCACCACAACCCCGAGGCAGGTTATACAGCTGCATCCACTTCACCAGAGAACCTTGGCTGGTCCAAATATCTCAGTGACACTATAAGACTCTTAAGAGAAGACTAGCAGGAGGGCCACCATTCTGAAAGCTGTTTCCATGCACAACAAATTGTGCAGAACTCAGTGTCATAATGCATTGCTTGCTAGCAGCACACGTTCCCCTCTCTAAAACTGGCCTGCAAGTTAAGAGATTGCAAAACACATGCATAGCCATTTGCTCCTAGCATGCTCATGGAGGTAAGACAAACCCAGGACATCACTGGAAATCTTGGTGACACCACCACCACCTCTGTCTTTGCAGAAGCTAATTCATTATTTGTCTCCACAAAACACCCTCATGTCACAGCTGCTGTTACACGTTTAACACCATTTCCGTTAAGCCTTTTCCAATCAATGCAGCTGCACATGGGTCTAAGCCGCACCCCAAAACCTTTATCGTCACAACAACCCGATGAGGTAGGCCAGGCTGTCCCCCACAGACAACAAACTTTGCAACCATCCAGGCATTACATGTTTACATATTTATTTACATCCTAGCTTTCCTCCAAGGAGCAAAAGGCAGGACGTGCACACAGTCTCTATTCCTCCCTCCCCCACAAAAAAATTATACCCTCACAACCACCCTGTGAGGTAGGCCAGGTGGGGAGAAAGTCAGTGAGGGGAGGGCAAGAGGCTTGCTGCTCCCTCCTTCCCAACCCCCAATTCGCTCCAGAGCCCCCAGCACCTTGTTATCCCCATGGCACCCCTTGCTCCCAGTGAGGCTACTCACCTCCTATGCTCCTAGCCCCCCACATAAACACACATACTCCGAAACCCACCCCCCCGTCCCACTCGCCGCCGCCGCCGCCTCCTCCTCAGCCCATAGACCCCGCCCCCTTCCACCGGAAACGCGGGTCCACTTCCGGCTTGGTGTGCGAGGCAGAGACGATGAATGCGCCGGCGGCCGCCGCGGGGCATTGTGGGGCTTGTAGTTCTGGGTCCAGGCGGAGGCATGTGCGCGAGTCGCGGGGTCTCCACCCGGCTGCAGCTGAGCAAAAGGAGAGGTCAGACCCGGCAAGGGGGTGAGGGAGGCTTCTTGCCTCTGGGGGAAAGAGCTAGGGGGCTTGGGCTGAGCCCCCTGAGACTTATATTGAGTCAGAGCATTGGTCTACCTAGCCTAGTTTTGCCTACAGGAATTGGCAGCAATGGCTCTAGTCTAGGCTTTCAGGCGGGGAGTTTTTACCCCGACCCCCGTCCTACCTGCAGATACCGCTGGGGATTGATGCTGCGACCTTCTGCATGCAAAGCACAGACTCTCCAAGTGTCTCTCTTTTCCAGGGACGTCCGTGATTTAGAGAAGCCGCCCCGGTTTCGGATTTGATCCTGGAATGTACCACTTTTCCTTAGGATGTCCCTATTTTCATTGGAGAAATGTTGGAGGGTATGGAGTAATCTGCAGTTCAATATTCCCTTCCTCTCTTTTTTTTTGCAGGGGGGGAAGGGGGTGTTCCTGCACTGAGTGAAACCTTCCGCACAAAGATCCACCGAAAGCAGAAGACAGTCAGTGTTGCCTATGACTCTCCCGGAGGAAATGGTCTGGGCAAGACAAACGAAGCAGAGGGCAAGAAGCAGAAGTGGGAACCAAAAAACTGGGAGCAGCACCTGAGCAACATCCGAGAAATGAGGAAGGAGAGAGATGCCCCTGTGGACCAGATGGGTGCTGGGAAATGCTTTGACAGTGATGCTCCTCCAGAGGTGAGGAGAGAGCTCAAAACTGAGCTGAACTGCACATGTTTAGGAGCAAGAAGGATCTTGGCAGATTGCATTGTCTGCCTTCCTGCCCTCATAGAGCAGGACTGGGCAGCAGGTAAAGGTTGAGATCTGTTTGTAGAACAGATCTGGTTTTAACAATGATAACATGGGTTTTCCCACCTGATGCTAGGAAAGCTAACCACTCACTGGCCCTGCTCTGCACCCTCCTTGAGTGTTTTTGCCTGGCTGAGATCTGCCCTTGAACCCTGATAATGTTTCCATCCATTTACCTGGATGGAAGACCGCAGAGAAATCTGTGTGCATAGAAACCTCTGGCTTTTACATAGCTGGGATGTAAAGGCTCTAGCCACATCCATTGCTCTAACTATCGTATTTTTTGCTCTATAAGACGCACCAGACCACAAGACGCACCTAGTTTTTGGAGGAGGAAAACAAGAAAAAAAAATTCTGAATCTCAGAAGCCAGAACAGCAAGAGGGATCGCTGGGCAGTGAAAGCAGCAATCCCTCTTGCTGTTCTGGCTTCTGGGATAGCTGTGCAGCCTGCATTCGCTCCATAAGACGCACACACATTTCCCCTTACTTTTTAGGAGGGAAAAAGTGAGTCTTACAGAGCAAACAATACGGTACTTTTGCTTTTGGCCCTGCCCATTACTAGCATATGTTGCCTATCAAGAAATATGGCCCCAGGTGGTTCTAGCAAAAAAACAAAGTAGATCTGACGAAAGATGATATCCTGTGATGATCACCTTCCATCTCCATACCATACTGTAGGTTAGGCGCTACCAGGTCCTCTTGTCACTCATGCTCTCCAGCCAAACCAAAGATCAGGTGACTTCAGCGGCCATGATGCGCCTGAGGGAGCATGGCCTCACTGTGGACAACATCTTGGGGACTGATGACGTGACTCTAGGCCAGCTCATCTACCCTGTGGGGTTTTGGAAGGTGAGCCATTTGAGAGAATAGGAAAGAGGAAGAGCATTAAACCAATATTTTTATTGCCCTAATCTTAGTAATCAGCGCTGGGCATTTTGAGGAAATGAAGCTGGTTATATTTGTGTTTGGCAGAGTTGCGGTTGGGAGAACAGCTTTAAAGACTTAAGAAAATGTGAACATCTGAAGATCATAGCTGCTGGGTCAGGTTAAAGGGGGCCAATCCAGCCAGTGGCGTAGCATGGGGGGTACAGGGGGGGCCGGCCGCACCGGGCGCAACATCTGGGGTTAGGGCAAATCCACAGGTTAGGGGGCGCAAATCCATGGGTTAGGGGGCGCAAATTACTTGCCTTGCCCCGGGTGCTGACAACCCACGCTACACCACTGAATCCAGCCCAGCATCCTGTTCTCACAGTGACCAACCAGATGCCCCAATGGGAAGCCTGCAAGCAGGCCCTGAATGCAACAGCTCTCCCCACTTCCAATTCCCAGCAGCTTGTGTTCAGAAGCTTCCTGCCTCTGACAGTGGAGGTAGAACATAGCCATTGGTGTGGTGTGGAGTGGTGCATGCTCTAGTTATCTCCCGCTTGGACTACTGCAATGCGCTCTACGTGGGGCTACCTTTGAAGATGACCCGGAAATCAATCAAAATGATTGATTGATTGATTGACCCGGAAACTGCAGTTAATCCAGAATGCGGCGGCTAGACTGGTGACTGGGAGTGGCCGCCACATAACACCGGTCCTGAGAGATCTGCATTGGCTCCCAGTACGTTTCCGAGCACAATTCAAAGTGTTGGTGCTGACCTTTAAAGCCCTAAACGGCCTCGGTCCTGTATACCTGAAGGAGCATCTCCACCCCCATCGTTCAGCCCGGGCACTGAGATCCAGCACCGAGGGCCTTCTAGCGCTTCCCTCATTTCGAGAAGTGAGGTTACAGGGAACCAGACAGAGAGGCTTCTCGGTAGTGGCGCCCGCCCTGTGGAACGCCCTTCCTTCAGATGTGAAGGAAATAAGCAGTTATCTTATCTTTAAAAGACATCTGAAGGCAGCCCTGTTTAGGGAAGTTTTAAATATTTAATGCTGAATTGTTTTTAACACTCAATTGGAAGCTGCCCAGAATGGCTGGGGAAACTCAGCCAGATGGGCGGGATATAAATTATTTAATTATTTATAATTATTATTATGGATTGTGGCCATTGATAGCCTTATCCTCCTCTATGAATTTGTCTAATCCTCTTTTGAAGCCATGCAAATTGATGGCGCTCACTGCCTCCTGTAAGAATGGATTCCACAGTTTAACTGTAATTGGTTCTTTCATACCACCAAACCCATTAAGATTCTCGTGGGATATCTGAAAAATGTTGTATGTTCAGAGCATCTTACTCTAGCTGGAGACTTCTTAAGAGGAGCAAAATTGATATTAGTCCCTAAGTGGTACCCTCCCAAAATGCTGAAAGAACGAGTGGTTTAATACAATATGGTATGTAACTTTGATGTCTAAAGTTACAGAAATAGTAAGATTTAGGGAGGGGAGACAGAAATCAGAACAGTTTGCAAGTTTATGTATCCCACCCGCCTTTACAAATCATATGGAGCAAAGATTTAATTTAGGACTGTTTAATGCTTTCTCGACTGTAGCATGAAATAGTATAACTTTTCTATTACAGGAAGCCCACAACGTACATGGGGCTTACATTCCAGGGATCGCACCTAAAGCCAAAATTGTGTGTACTCAAAACTCACTGGGTTTAATGGAGGTGGGATTGCCAAAGTCATTTTTCACAGAACCCCTACCACTTTCCACTTCTTTTTAAAATAAAAAAATTGCCATGCATGTAAAGCTGAATGCACACAAGTTAAATGTGTGCAAGTTGTGGGCTTCCTGTATTTCAATATTAAGTAATCAATAGCACAAAAGGAAAATAGATTGGATGGGAGGAGGAAATAAGCAAACAGGTTCAAGATCTTAATTACAAGTGATCCTAATGACCAGCTGGGTTGTGGAAGCTGTTTAAGGAGAGGAGGCACCAAATGTTGTGAGTCTGGTTGAGACCAGAGAGGCCTCCTTACCGAGGGGCTTAATAATATCCTTCCTACCTTGCGGTTCTGAAAGCACATCTCAGCTAGATAATAAATAATAATACTGTAATAAAATTTTATTTATATCCCGCCCTCCCCAGCCGAAGCTGGGCTCAGAGATTCCATTGTCATTGTGGTCCCTGCTTTCATCCGGGCCCCTCATTCCTCACAGTCAGCCCCCTTATTCCCTCCATTGCTTGAGGCGTTCCTCAGCTGGCTAAACCTCCAGCACACATCCCTCCATTTTTACCTGACTGCAGCGGAAAGTGAGCTACATCAAGCAGACCACAGCAATTCTGAAGCAGGACTATGCTGGAGACATCCCAAGGACACTGGCGGAGCTAGTGAAACTCCCAGGGGTTGGACCCAAGATGGCCCATTTGGTGATGGACATTGCCTGGCAGGACGTCTCTGGAATCGGTATTGTTTCCATTTTTCTCTTAGCAGTCCCAACTCATTTGCTCTAGGATTCAGAGCTTCTAGAAGGACCCGGGATGGGGACTCTTGGGCCTAGGGGCCAAAGGTGGCCCTTTGAGCCTATCTATCTGGCCCTCGGAACATTCCCCAGGCCACACACCCTCACCAGTCTTGCTTCACACACCCCTTGAGTGTTTTTGCCTGGGGAGAGGGCTTTTGTATGCGGGTCCTACTTGCAGGTCTCCCTCTGGTGCATGTGGGTAGCCGCTGTGAAAACAGGGTGCTAGACTAGATGGGCTCTTCTTATGTACGTAGTTTGTCTAAGGCCACCTGAAGCAGAGGTGAAATGGGTCCTTTGTGGCTCACACACTTACAGAGCAATCATAACCATGTCTACTCAGCAGCCCCATTGAATTCAGTGTTAGAATCTATGCCGCACCTGTGCTTATCAAATGAATAGCTGTCATTTCAAAACAATTCCTGTGAGGAGGCCTACCTTGGATTTTGGGACTGTGGTGCAATCCTGCTATAGGCAGGAGGTGGCGCTGTGGCTCCATGGCCCATGCTTGCGCTAACCCACCTTTTTTAACAGTACTTCCAATTCACATTTTTGGTTGCTGGTTACAGGAAACCTGGGAGGGCTGGTTCTTGATGAATGGGACTTCAGGAACCAGTTGATTAAAAACTGAGGGTGGGGAGAATATCATTCGGGGTTCTCTGCTGGAATTCCTTCCCGATTAATCAAGGAGCCTGTGTGTTTCGCCCAGAGATGGCGGCAGTGCTGGGTGACAGACAGTGCCCAGTAATTTCAAAGGTGGGGAATCAGCCATTGTTATATTTGAGGCCTTGAGGCAACCTGATACCTGCATGGCACCTGTGAGCCTCTTCTGAATGCCTCCTCCGAGCTTCTGACTTAAGACTCTTACAAAATGCAGACTCGGGACATTAAAAGGGGCATTATTTTTCCCCCTCCCCCCGCTTTTGCTTACCCGCTAGCCAGACTATTTGGGTTGGCCTAATAAAGGTCTTGCCCTAATAAGGATGTTGAAATTTCCATTTCTGGTTCCAAAAGTTGCTTCCTTCCACCTGCCACTTCACAGCAGCAGGTCCTGATCTTCACAGGCGTGCTGTGGACCACCTGAATGAAGTTCACGGACCACTGTGGTCCTCAGACCAGTGTTTGGGAACCCCCTGGTTTACAGTACACCGGCAAGGCACAATTCAGAAAGCAGTATTTTCCGCAATCCAAAACATTAGTATATTCAAATGAATTGAACACACTTGGATTTTCAAAATCAAAACGTTGTGTTGTATCCCTCAGAACATAAGAAGAACCTGCTGGATCAGACCCGTGGTCCATTTAGCCCAGCATCCTATTCTTACAGTGGCTAACCAAATGCCTGTGGGAAACCAGCGAGCAGGATTTGAGCACAAAAGCCCTCTCCCCTCCTGTAGTTCTCAGCAGCTGGTGTTCAGAAGCATTGCTGCCTCTAAATTTGGAAGTAGAGCATAGCCATCATGGCCAGTAGCCATTGATAGCGCTTTCCTCCATGAATTTGTCCCGTCCTCTTAAAGCCACCTAGGATGGTGGCCATCACTGCCTCCGCAGTTCCACAGTTTAACTATGTACTATGTGAAGCAGTATGTTCTTGTACCTGCTACTGACAGCCCAGTGACTATCTGGAACCTGTGGCCCTCCAGTTTCTTGACTCCCACTCCCATCAGCCCCCCAACCAGCTGGGCCAACAGCCAGTGGTGCTAGAACTTGGAAGTCCAGCAACATCTGTAGGGCCACGGGTCCCCCAGCCCTCCTCTGGTCAAAAGCTCCGCTCAAAGACAAAACCATCCTTTCCTTCAAGTAGGGGTCAAATATCCTCTAACTATTCTGGGAACTGAATGTGGGATCTCCTCTCCCTTGACTCTACTCACCATTTTCCATAGGTGTGGACACACATGTGCACCGGATTTCCAACAGGTTGAAGTGGGCAAAGAAGGAAACGAAGCTTCCTGAGGAGACTCGGCTGGCTCTGGAAGAGTGGCTCCCCAGGTGAGGCAGCCAGGGTCAATTCTGACTTTTTTCTTTACTCCACGTGTTCTCTCAGTTTCTTTTTTTTTTTAATTCAGTGACCTGGGCCACACATGATGCCAAGCCATGGTTTGTTTAGCCTAAGCAAAATGTGAAGTCATGGTTTGTTTTTGGCTCGCGAGCTGTGGCTTGTTTTAACAATAGTTTGGCTTTATGATCAACATGCCGTCTTCATTGTCTCCCATTCCATTTCAGAGCCCAATTCAAAGTGGTGTTTTCCATCTTGAGAGCCCTAAACGGCCTCAGAGGAGGACGTCTGAAGGCTTCCCTTCTCCCATACAAAATTTACCACAGGGTTAGGCCTTCAGCTAAGCTCCAGGGGCAGCTAACCAACGACCCTTCAAATCTTTCTGAACTACAACTCCTGCAGCCTTAGGGTGAAGGGTGGGTGATTAATCAAATTAATAATAATGATAAATGAACATTTCCCTTCCTTCTCCTCCTAGAGATCTCTGGAGTGAGATAAACTGGCTTCTTGTTGGGTTTGGGCAGCAAGTCTGCTTACCTGTAAATCCACGCTGCAGTGAATGCCTCAACAGGGACATCTGTCCGGCTTCGAGGAAGCGCTGAGAGATGCAACATTTACTGGAACAGGCCACCATACTGGGGGACTGGGACTTGGGGGCCCACCAATGGACTGATGATGCTGTAGCTGACCTGCCAGTGGCTTGAGCAAGAGGGATGTTCACCCTGAAATCTGGTGGCACTACAGCAATGACTCGGTTCCTGGTCTCCAAGCCATGCACAGGTGAGAGGGGTCCAAATAGCATTGTTACTCATAAAAGGACAGTTGACCTAAGTGTGGTGTCCCCGGCTGCCCTGAAAGGACTCCTCTTAACCCAAGTATGAAGCCACACAGAGAGTAGTTAAATAAGTGCAACGTATTGGGGCTAGATTCCAGACTAAGTTAGCTGGACTCGAGTCCCACTGAAATCAGTTGCACGTGTACATCTTGACATAGCTCAGTTCAGCTAGCTCAGGCCCCATCAGCACCATACACTTAAAGCAGTGACATGCTACTTTAAACAGTCGTGGTCCCCCCGCCAGCCCCCTTCTCCAAGAATCCTGGGAGCTGCGTCTTGTTCAGGGTGCTGAGAGTTGTTAGGAGACCCCCTTTCCCCCTCAGGGAACTACAGTTCCCAGAGTTCCTGGGGAAGAGGGGTTGAAGGTACTTTGGGAATTGAAGCTGGAAGGGAATAAGGGGTTTCCCAGTAGCTCCCAGCACCCTTAACAAACCACAGCTCCCATGGTTCTTTGGGCAAAGCCATGTGTATTTAAAATGATGAGTCTACTTCAAAAGTATAGTCCAGCCCCCAGTATCTTTTAAATGAAGATTTTGCTGGATTCCTGTGGCTAGAAAGAGGAGATGGGGGAAGGCAGGCTGAAAATGGGCGAAACTTTCTTTAGGGTGAAAATGAAAACAAGCAGAAAGTTCAGTTTGTGTCCTGTCAATGGAAGGTCCACATGTTTTGATATGTCTGGAAATCTCTTTGTCGTAAGCTATATATGTCTGACCAGAATTTCTAAGGTTCAGCTCACATGACATCCTCCGGCCTTTGTTTTGAAAGGGCAAGGCTCTCACTTTGAGAGCCTCTGCCTGAAGAGCAACCAGGGGTGTGTTGTATTTCCTTGTCTTTTTGCCTCTCCCTGCCTCCACACACACTGTGAGGGAAGCCGGTCATATTTTCTTCCCAGACCAGACCTTCCTAAGAAGTGTTTGTGGATTCTGTCAGCTGCCTTTGCCCTTGAAGAATTTCCAATTTAAATGCTAATAAGCTAGTTACCAGGCAAAAGGAGTTATCCAGCTCCACTAGATGATGTCATTCAGGCCTGTCCCAGCGTCATGGAGGAATTAGCCTGTTGCCAAGGTAGGGAGAGTTGGAAGTTTAAAAACAGATGAGACAGAAAAAATTCTTCCCACCCCAATTGTATCTGATGGGCTCCAGGGCTTGGACATTTTAGATCAGCTTCCCTCCCAATCTATCGCCCTCCTGGTGTTTTGAACTACAACTCCCACCAGCCCCAGACAGTGTAGCCATAAAATGCAGTCCAAAACATCTGGAAGACACCAGGTTGGGTAAGGGTTCTCCTATGTGAGAACGAAGCCTTTGAGATGTCCCAAACAAAAGGGGTATTTGGAATACAGTGTAAGCCTTGAGCTTTGCTTAGCCTGTCACATAAGCCAAATGCTAAGAACTGCATTTACCTAAATAGTAATTCTTATTTTTATATAATAAACAGTTTTGTTTTTAATAAGAATTTTGTCTAACAGTCTTTGTTTGGTGCTCAAGTTTCCCAGAAGAGGGGGCTTAATCCAGAGTGGGGAACTTGGGCCCGGGATCTGAAAGTAGCCCTCCAGGCCTTTCCTTCTGTCCCCTGGGACTCTCCCTATGACATACCCCCTCATTGGCCCTGCTTCAAACCTTCCTTGTGGGACTGGAATATGTTTCCCTGATAATTTAAATGCACCTAGAAGTGAGGCAATCTGGCACAGCCAGGAAACAGACACAAAAGCTGGGTGGGAGGAAGAGAGGGATACCATAAGGAAATAATAACTTGGACACCAACATCATAAAACTCGCTGTACATGGGAAACCAGTTTTATTATTGACATTTTAGTATACATTTTTTTTACACAATGCAGTTAACAGCTCTTCTTATAACTTTTTAGTGAATGTCTAGGTTAGATGTGCAGAAACTGAGTTAAGTGCTGCAGAGCATATAGGATGGCAGAGAAAAGAGAGCCAGGCGTGCTTTTAAATCGTCATGAGTCAATCCACGGAATAGAGACTGGGATGCTTGCTTTCTTGGAAGGGGTAGGGGGAAAGATACCTCTATAGGTACAGATTTGTATAGGAGATTTCAATTGTACCACAACCCTCAAATTTGTGCTTCTGTCACACCTCTCCTATCCTTAAAGAATGACTTTAGAAATCCTTGTTCAAACCAGTCCTGCATTCATTCATTCATTCATTCATTCATTCATTTCCTTACTATTATATTTCACCTTTCTTCGATCATGGAGCCCAAGGTGTTATCCAGGCGTTTTTCAAAAGGCCTCCTATCCTGTTTCATCATCCACTGACCAGATGTAAACCTGTTCTTTCCATGTATCAGAGGGGTGGAGAACCTGTGGTCTTCCAGATGTTGCTGGACTCCAACTCCCATCAGCCCAAGGCTGGTGGGAACTGCCGCAGCAGCAGCAGCAGCAGCAGCAGCAGCGCACCCCCCCCCCCGCCAACATACACACACCTCTGGTGCATCAGCACCTTTGCTAATAATGCATTGGGGGCAACTCTTTTGGAGGTAAAAACTTTAGCCTAATTTGAAAAACAAGCGCCCTCCAATCATTTAAGGAATCAAAGCAGCCCCCCCCAAACAAAGCCCTTATAAATCTCACACCGACCGTTCTCAAAATCAAGTTTCAAGCAATCTTATCAGCAGGTATTAGCATATACCTGAATTACTACCAGTCTCACTCAATAAGTGTTTTCTTTGTTAAAAAAATTAAAGAAGACTCAGCAGAGCATTCTTCAGAAAGCCACATTTTCATTCACAAACATTTCATTATCCTCCTAGAATCAGTGGTCCCGAGTCATCAAGAGAGATTTATGGCAGGCCTACTCAACCTGGGGCCCTCCAGTTGTTGTTGGACTACAACTCCCATCAGTATCAGCCAGCAAGGCCAAAGGTCATGGGTGATGGGATATGTATTCCAAACATCTGGGCACCAGGCTGGGGAAGGAAGATCTACATGCACTCTTATTTGCATTTGCCCCATAATGCACACCCTTCCTGTGGCATCAGCAGGAAGCCCCCTTTCAATACTAATGGGCATCTATGGGACTAGCTGAGCATAACTGGGGCTGGATTGGGAGTCAGCAAGTACGGCTGTTCTCCAATAATAAATGGTTTGGGAATGTGGTAAAATCCCACGTCTGCAGACTGAGTTGTGCAAATTAGTCATATTTACATATATTTATTTTTACATAGCTTCACAGTCTTCAATGGTGCAGGTTTTTAAAAACAAATTGGAATGTTTTGGTCAAGCTTGGCAAAGAATGAGTCTCAAAGGGGGGAAAGAATTCCTGACATTTCCCCCAGATTCCATATGGGCTAGAAACCCTGTTTTTAAAATAAAAATCATCATCATCATCATCATTAAGTGAAGAGCGCAGTGATTTGTAGCCAAAGCCTTCTTGCCTGCTGAGCTTATAATCACTGAACATCCATGGAATCAATCTGAAATATTGGGGGGGGGGGCGGGGTGGTTTGTTGTTTGCAAAAAGATTGCTTTCTAGTTCTCATGCCTACTGAGATAAAATTCAAAAGTGGTGAGTGATGCCTGGTGCTACCTCAGAAGACAGAGATGGTAGGTCTCTGAGGGGACAGAGGTGAGGACTACAATGGTGTCCCTATGATAGCCAGGCAGACTATGCAAAATCAGTCAAAATGTGGCATTCAATTAGATTAACTCAGGTGCAGAATTAGGGCACATTTCTTAGGCGTCCAGACCAGCTCCCCCCAAATTGGTGCTCTGGGGCTGCTAGGAATCGTAGTCCAAAATAGCTGGAGACCATCAGATTGGTAAAAGCTGGTGTGGACAAAGGGTATCCAACGTGGTGCTCTCCAGATGTTGTGGACCGCAACTCCCATAAGGCCCAACCAACACAACCAATGGTGAGAGATGATGGGAGATGGAGTCCAGCAACACCTAGAGAACACTGCTTTGGCTACTCCTGGGGCAGATTATGAGTAGAGGGCTGTCCATCATGGACACCGATACTCCACCTTGCATTTCTCTCAAAGCCTCCTGTAATGAAACTGTATACAAGGTTATTCCTGAAAACCAATCACATAACAAGAGAATGGTACCATTTACCAAGCCAGCTTTGCTACACGGCAGCCATTTCCCCAAAGGACCAGAGAATAATCTAAGGCACCTTATTCAGCTTAGTTATTTGCAAAACATACACAAAGCCCCCAGAGTGTACTTATATCAAAGGGCACTTGGTCATCTTGCAGGGTATTGTAGAATCATAGGACTGTAAGAGTTGGAAGGGGCCCAAAGGATCATCTACTTCAACCCCCTGCAATGCAGGAATCACAGCTGAAGAATCCCTGAAGACAAAATGTGTCGTCGTCCACCCCACCCCTTGAATACTTATATAGATTGTACATTTGTGCCCTAATTAAAAGGGTGGCAATTGCTTAGTCATACATACATCCCATCCAGCTTGCTTTTTAATACTTGTTGTGGAAGTGGTTGTAAAGAAGAAAAGGGTGTGAAAGGTTGTGATGTCTCACTAAAGAAGGCTGGAAGAAAAAACTATTCCTACCTGCCTCCCCTTACCAGATTAACAGTGTTATAAAATCAGTAGCTAGCTTCCCCCTTTTTTTTTAACTCCTCCCTCACTTAGCAGAATCAGGAGAAGAGTTTGGACAACAATTTATGAGTTGCTGCTGCAATGTGATCACTCTCAAGCAGCCTTTGCCAACTGTGTGCCCTCCAGATGTTCGAACTACAACTCCCATCAGCCCAAACCATGGGTGTGCCTGCTGAGGCTGATGGGAGCTGTGGTTCAAAACAGCTAGAGGGCAGCAGATTAGCAAAGGGATCTCCTCAAGAACAGAAGAGCCTAGTGTAGAGGTTCCACAGGAGTGTGTGCTTTACTTTTATGTGGCCCACACAGTTTACATACATCACTCATTGAGAAGGATCAAATTCAGTTAGTAAGTAGGAGCAATACCCCAGAATTATCCAATTTCACTCAGGCCTGGATTCAAGACATTTCAGTGCCTAAAAACAACACCACTAAACAGTATACTCCCTCCCATGAATTAACACAGGGAGGGGTAAGAACTTCCCTGGAAACTTCCCAGTGACCTGGGCCCCTTGGGTCAATCTGTCTCCCAACTCTTGTCCTCTTATAACAACATCAAGATCTATCTAGGGCAGGCATGTCCAGAGCATTTCGGGGGCCTAATCTGGCCCTCCAGTCGGTTTAATCCAGCCCCTGTGGCAGTTTATTTCCTAGGGTAAAATCCTAAAAAACCTCAACAACTTCAATCCTAAACAAAGCTCAACCACTTCAATCCTAAAAAAAGGTTAACAACTTTGGTCGGCCCTCACCGCCCTTCACTTCATCAAATCTGGCCCTCTTTGAAAAAAGTTTGGACACCACAGATCTAGGGAATCACAGAATCATATAATTGTACAGTTGGAAAGGACCCCGAGAGTCATATGGTCCAACCCCTTGCAGTGCAAGAATCACAGCTAAATAATCCCTCAAAGATGGCAATCCAACCTCTTCCATGCCTCCTTGCCTTTAATAACAATTCTTCTATTTGGGGGGTGGGGGAAGTAACGGAGAGTGCCTAACGCTGGTAATGAGCAGGTCAGATGGTCAGTAGATGTGGATGTGTTGCCGTCTCAAAAAAGAGACACATTCTGTGCTTCTGAGCCATTCCTTCAGAAAGAACATTGCAGAAGCTAAAACACATTCAGAGCTTGTTAAATTCAACTTTATGTGTTATGGTTAAAGCATGAGATTTGACTTTGGCTGTAGGGAGGGGGTGCCTCAGGCCCAGTGACCAAATGCGGCTCTTCAGGCCTCTCCATCTGGCCCTCAGGATGCTTCCTAGGCCACTCCCCCTTCTCAAACCAAGGCCTGCTTGGTGCTTTCATCATGTCCTTTATCCCTGACTGGGAAATGTTCTTGGACTGTAATGAAACCTTTTGGATTCCATGGTTGGAGAAGGGTGAGGGTTGGTGTAGAACCTCAGACCATTGTAGGTGGGGGGGGGAAGCCCTTTGAGCTCCACCACCTTTGCTTCTGGTTTCTCCTGCCACTGGTATGCAGCCCCCAGAAGATCGCCCACAAGGGAATGTGGCCCTCGGCCTAGAAAAGGCTTTGGGGACCACTCTGTCCATCATCTCCCACCCCGGGCACTGCCTGTGGAAAGGGTTAGTAGTCATATGTTAAAGGGGAGACCATCCACTACAGCCTTTCCTTAGAACAGCTGATACGTGCAGATACCTTATTGTTGCTAAACTGAAAGGAAGGTTGGTTAATGGTGCAGACACTGAAACATCAGCAATGTTGAAATGGGGTGCATGTTTTCAAAAGGCCTGGAAGTGGAAATAGTTGTGCGGTTGGAGGTTAAATGAACTTGCACAAAAAGGGGGGAGCTTCTGTTTAAATCTCGAGACGCCCGTCCGTTTGCCAGCAGGACACTGTCTCCCAGAGGAACCGCTCCCAGGAATGTTAGTATTTCACGGATACAATTGTCTTCCTGTGCTTCTCCCAAGTCTCGCTTAAAAAGTGTTATTTCCAGCTTCTGGCTACAGCCAATTCAGAACAGTGTTCCTTATAAATGTCAGGATTTAGAAGGGGGGGCGCTTGCTTTCCCCCCCTCCTTCTATCCTACCCTGGCCCCAGGGGGTTGGCAAGGGATGGCATGCATTTCTGCACCTGAGCGCACCAAATAATTGTGGTCTTTTGCCACGATTGGTAGGGAAGGGACTTTTCAAAAAGCACAGTTCTTCTGGAAATTGGTGAAGGGAAGGGGCTTTTCGGAAAGCGCAGTTGTTCTGAAAAGTGGTAACAAGGCAAAAACAATTTGCAAAGAAAAGGGGGCTTGCTGTGCCTGAGGCTTAAAGGGTCAGGGCGTTTCAAGCACTAACTACGAACAGATGGAGGGGCGGAAAAAATTTCCCTCCTTTAAAAAATAAAAAGTCCCAAGTTTAAAGCCACAGAGAAAACTCGCACAATCACGAAATGGTCAGGCAACCACATTTATGAGGATGCCAACATGGAAACCCAGCAGTCTCTGCCAACCTGATGCCCCCTCCTGCCCAAAACCAAGGGCTGCTGCAAGGAGTGGCCATTATCTGGAACATCTGGAGGGTACCAGGTTGGCAACAGCTGCTGCTAACCCATCACAGTGCAGACCGCAGCATCCAGTTAAGTGGAAAGGCTCTGGTTAACAAGTTCTGGTTGGGACATTATAAAAAAAAAATATTGACATCGCTACAAGAAGAGGCAGAAGAAGCTCAAACAATTAATGATATAAAAATGATCCTATAAATAATACATTCTAAATATTGCAGGTTAAGCGATTCAAAAAGGAAAGGAAAATTGCCGCTTGCTTTTCCTGCTTGTTACTGTGGCAGTTTCACAGTTGCCTGTTTTGTATGTTTGAGCCCTGCAGTTTCAATCTCTCTCTCTCTCTCTCTCTGACCACTATTGTACAATAAAAGAGGCTGGGGGCAGGGGGGAAGGAGGGAATGTGCTTTGTACAAAGCAACACAAACCTATGGTAAAAAGCAGAGCCTGGCACGCCTTGGAGCGGTGCCCGTTGGAGGCACAGCGCGGCCGTCGCCATCCCCGTGCTCATTTGCAAATGTCTCCAGGCCGGGGTGGGGGGAGCCGCAACAGGAGTCGAGAGGAGCTCCTCTGCCGGCTCAGAAGTTGCTGAAGATCTCCCGCTTCTTGTTCCAGTCCATCTGGGGGGCCCTTTTGTTCACCCGCTTGGCCCGCACTTTCTCTTTGGCCTCCGCTGCCGTGGGACTCAGGTTCAAGCCGCTCTCCTCAAACGGATCCTTCTTCCCAGGCTCTCCCACCTAGCGGGATTTTTTTAAAAAAAGAAAGAGAAAAGAATGGGATTCAAAAGAAGGGAAAGGACTGGTGGGATAGAGGGGTGTGGTGGGGGCTCCTGTGCTGCATTTATTGCAGGGGGCAAGTTTTCCCCCACTTCAACCTGTCATCTCTTTTCAAACTCATTTTGCAGGGTTTGGAGAGGCTACGATAACCTTGCAGATAGAGCTGACAGGAGGCAGCAAAAAAACTAAAGAGTCATCGCAGGATGCAGGCTGGGTCTCTTGGAGCCTTTGACAGGGCAAAACTCAGCCTCTGCTCTTAGGAGAGGAAGCAGCAACTGAGAAGAACTGTAACTCGGGGGCAGAGTATCTGCTTTGCATGCAGAAGGTCCCAGGTGGCATCTCCAGGCAGGGTTAGGAAAGACCCTTGGTCTGAAACCCTAGAGAGCCATAGCTAATCAATGCAGACAATCCTGAGCTAGATGGACCAATGGATGTAGCTGAGTGGCAGGACATCTGCTCTGCATGTAGAAGGCTTTGGGCTCAATACCTGGTCTCTTTTCCAGGCAGGGTTGGGAGACCCCACAAGTCTGTGTGAACAATGCAAAGCTAGACAGACCAATAGCCTGACTCAATATAAGGCAGCTTCCTATGTCCCTAATTCTGATGCTGAAGAGCTGCGATTACTCTTCATAGCGCCCAAGTTCTTGGAACATCAGCAAGTACCAACCCATCTGGCTCCATGTCAACCCACCACAGACCCAACTCTGCAGCCCAAACGTCATCATGCATCACCAGCAGAGTGCAGGAGGGATGGGCCTCCAGCTTAATGGAAGGGCATGTGCTTTGTATCCAGAAAAGGTCTCATGTGCTATGCCTGGCATGACAAAGGGATGTCACATACAGCGGCGATTAAACGAACCAGCAGTCAGCAACTGGACACCTTCGGGCAGGATCCAACCTCCAACCCAGGGAGCAAGCGGATGTGGATGAGCAGCATCAGAAAGCATTGGGATGTGGTAGCCAAATCCGCTTGGGAGCGGTGGTAGGTCATTGTCCCCAGTGTTTGAAATTTCCTGGGCACCAGGTGCATTTTGCTCTCGGTGCGGGTCCAATTGTGAGTATGTGGAGATTTCTGGGCGACTGACATCTCCATTGAGCCAGCTGACTCGTGCACAGCAAAAGATACATGTCATGTGCTCCTGAACTGCCGAGCGAATCATGGACCCCTTGCTGAGCATCTTAGTCCTCCATCATCACATCAAGGAAAGGAAGTGCAGCACTAAGTGCGGATACATCCGACTGTGCTGCAGCCTTTCCACAGGCCACGCAAATGGAACTCACAGACCACAGTTTAAAAACTTCTGCCTTAGCCCCTAGCTGATTCTATTTCCATTTCCACTGTTTATGTTTCTCCTTCTTGCCTCCTCGGACAAGTGAATTGTTGTAAGAGCAAGCTACAGTAAGGCAATGTAGCTGAGATAATAGAATCATAGAATTGTAGTGCTGGAAGGAACCCCAAGGGTCATCAAGTCCAACCCCCTGGCAAATAGACATAAGCTAAGCTTAAGGTGCCATTTGGTGCCTAGCTTACATATCTTGAGTTTCTAACACTGGCCCCACTCCCCTATCAGAGTGGCCCTCTGGGACAATTAAGTGCCACTTAGGGTTCTCCTCCTATGTCTATTCAAAACCACAAGCCCATGGCAGGATCGAGACCCAAGGCGATAAAACCAAGAAAGGCCCTCAGCGGAACCACGCCGATGAAGCCTGTAAGAAAGCAGGACATCAGCCAGCACTGGCAAAAGCTGGATGAAACTAGTGAATAATTCCTCTCCCTCACCACCAACCCGGCATGGAAAGAATGCAGAGTTTTTGGACTCCAGTGAACAGTGAGGCCAGTTGCTCCTCTGAAGGAACAGGGATCGGATCCCCCGTAATTCAAGCCTCTCTGTGGTCTTCACAAAACTCTCCTCTAATCAAGGCCTGCATATTTCTCTCTTAAAGAAACAGGGCTGCAGTGGTGGCAGAGCGTGAGGAAATAAATAAGCTGCATTGCATTCAAGTATTTCCCTTCGCATTTGAATGCAATTAAGCTTTTTTTTTTTTTTTTAAGTATAGGGGTTTGGGAGCGGGAATCTGCTGACTTTTTTTTTGCCAGAAATAGTTCATATTCCCCCTACATCAACATATTCCTAGTGGCTTCTATTGTTCTCTTCCTTCTTTCATCCTGAGGGGTCCCCGGAAGGAGAAATAAGAGAAGACAGTTTGACTCTGGCCACCTCTGTGGTGGAACATGGCAGATGTTTAACAGCTGACAAAAAAAACCACAAAAAAACTTGCTTGTTTGGAAGGAGGGAGTAGGGAAGCTAAATTTTGGAGTAGAAAGACTTACACGGCGGCAGCAGCAGCGTCAACAACAACTACATTTCCTATCCACGTTGTTACAATTATTACTATTTTTTTTATGACATGCCCATTGCCATAAGGTCCCAGGGCAGGTTATAACAATATAAAAAGAAGGACTTAAGAAGAGCTCTGCTGGATCAGGCTAATAGCCACTGTGGCTAGTAGTCATTGATAGCCTTATCCCCCACACATTTGTCCAATCCGCTTTTGAAGCAAGGTTGGTGGCCATTGCTGCCTCTTGAGGGAGTTCCATAGCTTAACTACGCACAGCATGAAGAAGGACTTTTATCTGTCCTGATTCTTTCAGCATTCAGCTTCATTGGATGGCTATGGGTTCTAGTGCTATGAGAGAGGAAGAGCAGCTTTTCTCTAGCCACTTCCTCCATTAAACAGATAATTTTTATAAATCTCCATCACGTCATCCCTTGCTCGCCTTTTCTCTAGACTTAACGGTCCCCCAAAACAATATTAAAGGTAAAGGGACCCCTGACCATTAGGTCCAGTCGTGGCCGACTCTGGGGTTGCGGCGCTCATCTCCCTTTATTGGCCGAGGGAGCCGGCGTACAGCTTCCGGGTCATGTGGCCAGCATGACTAAGCCGCTTCTGGCGAACCAGAGCAGTGCACGGAAACGCTATTTACCTTCCCGCTGGAGCGGTACCTATTTATCTACTTGCACTTTGACGTGCTTTCGAACTGCTAGGTTGACAGGAGCAGTCACAAAAATAGGGTGGGTCCTAAAAAATATACATCTCAGGTGTCCAAGAGGCCAGGGTCAAGAGGCTGCACTATGAAGGTGCCGGGTACACCTCTGTGGGGAGGGAATTCCACAATTTTGGGGCTGCCACGGGGAATGCCCTCCCCCAGGCCACTACCACGCCAAACATCTAAGGGTGGCAGAACTACTGAGAGGGGCACCACATGAAGGGCGACAAGCTTGGAAAAGTTGTGCACGAAGCAGGAGGTAGTCGGTGCAGAAATGCCCCTGGGATTTGCAAGAGGTGAAAGGCCAGAAAGCAGGAAAATGTCCCAGTCCAGATGAGCAGAAGACAAGAGCCTGTTCCATAATAGAAGCAGGAGAAAAAAGAAGGTGGGTGGATGCCACAGAGACACTGAGAAGGAGGAAGAGGAAGAACTTGGCAGAGGCAGAAGGAGGAGGAAGAAGGGGCAGGATCCAGAGGGGGACCCCTGGAAGGATGCAGGTCCAGGGGATTTCCTTGGCAATGCAAAGGTGGTGGGGAAAGAAATAATATATACGAGGTTTCCTGTGCAGTGTTTGGGCAGGTCAAGAAATGGGATCACTTTGTTTACCTCAGACTCCTTCTCAGGACTTTGGCAATCGCTGTGGGACGAGGACATGGATCCCCCATTCAGCTGTCAGGAATGGAAAGAGGGTGTGTGTTTATTACAAGAAAAGTGGAATTGGAGGGGTTAAGAACACGATTTGGACAGCTGTAGGACAGTGCCTTGAGGTTTTGTGCCAGCATGGTGAGCGTGGTGGTGCCACTTGGGGAAACATGGGCCATAAAGAAGAACAGGAAGGTGGGTCAACCCACACAATCTCCATTGCAATCTTTCCCCTGGGTGGCTCACAATAAATTTCCAGGCAGAGAACAAGTCACGGAAGTTCTTAAGAAAAGGCAGCATATTGTGTTGGGTCAGTTTGATAAGGATTTCTCATTATGGGCTGCGGCCCTTCGATCTCATGTGATCCATCTCATTTCCTAGCACTGAGGGAAGACAGATCTAAATAAGTTGGGCCAAAGGTTGCTGAAGCCACAGAAACCGGAGGAGAGTGAAGGAAGATAGCCAGGGATCTCGTTGATCCGAAATGGACATGTCCTATGTGTCACATCTTAAATTTGTGACTCAAGGTGAATACCTGGCAGAAAACTAAAATTCCCCAGCCTTGTGCCCTGCAGGTGTGTTGGACTACAACTCCCATCAGCCCCAGCCACTATGGAACAAGGACACGGGCACCATGCTGGCTGGGGCTGATGGGAGTTGTAGTCCAACACACCTGCACGGCATCAGGCTGAAGAAAGCTGCACTCAGCTCTGCTGTACATTCTGAACAGGTAACAGGGTAAGGGTGGAAGTTGATTTAGTCTACATTTCAAGGCAAACCAAACTGGAACTCAAAACACAGTCATCTTTCAAAGTTCGCATTCCTCCCAATTTTGCAGTGCAGTTCTCCACGCAGAGAAAGTGTACAAAAATGAATATACTAGGGTCAGGTATGCATCAAAATGCTTCTTATTCCAGGAAATTGCTTTGCAAAAGGATGTGTATATTGGGTAAAACTGCATACAATAATGTGTATATCGGGGGGAAATGCACTAAAATGCGGATATTTTCATGAGGACTTTTTTGGGGGGGAAATGCCCAATGATATGGAGAACTGAACTTAAGAATGGAAGAATAAGAAACCAAGAGAGACAGAAACAGACAGATTTACCCATCCGTACCCATCGCTTACCTGCGTTTGTGCTGACCCATTGGTCATGGGCTGAGGAAGTCCACCTGAAGGCAAAGGAGAAAGAACCCCAGTTGAATACAGTCATGTGGAAACACAACAAATGTCCTGATAATAATTTATTATTTATACCCCACCCATCTGGCTGGGCTTCCCCAGCCACTCTGGGCGGCTTCCAACAGAACATTAAAATACAATAATCTATTAAACATACCCCCCCCAAAAAAAGGCTCCCCATGAAGCCCCACCAAACATTTGCAGGTGAGGGTTGTTCCTATGTCCTTCTGAGGGCCAAACCAGCTGTGACTTTGATTGCATGAATGCTGCACTTTGGAGCTTCCGCCTATTGACATCAGGCGGGCGCCTTCACTGTATTCTTTCTGGCACCTGCTTAAAACATTTTTGTTTAGGCACAGTGCTTTGCAGGCACCATGGCCCAGCTGTCTGCCAGGTCTTGCAAAACCCTGTGCCTTTGCAAGTGCCAGGGACTATGGCAACACTTGTCAAGGCAACTTCACTTTTAGCAGAGAGTTGCATTTTTGCCACATGACATCAGGTATAGAGGCACCCGTAAGATGGAGGTTCCCCACCACTGCTCTAGTGGGCTCAGGGGGGCATCCTTATAAAGTCCCTTTAATTTCCCCCACAAAATTAAGTGAAGGAAGGCAACTTCATAATCTTCCTGCAGAAAATGGAGCATTTTCATAATGTATTGACAGGAAAATATAAAACTATGCACACTCTTAAGAACGTTGTAGATCATTAAAGTAGATACATTAACTCTATTTAGACACATAGTATTGCATTCGCTATGCCTATTCTCCTTTTTTGTGCATACGCATTGCTAACATTTCTTTTCCTTTCTTATTGTTATTATGTTTTCACTGACTTGTATCTTGACCGATGATGATGAAGATAATAATAATAATAATAATAATAATAATAATAATAATAATAATAAAAAAAAAAAAAACATCCTATCAGGTATTCTTTCAGATATATTTCAGGAATATCTTCAGGCATAAATGTTATTTTATCAGGTCAGATCTTTGGAACTGGCACTTTTACAGGTGCTGCATAATACCCATTCAACATCTGGAAGAAACCTTTTATTGCGGCAACTTCTACACTTTGGAACTCCCTGCTTATTGATATCAGGCAGGCACCTTCACTGTACTCTTTTCAGTGCCCACTAAAAACATTTTTGTTTAGACAAGCCTATGCATATAGTGTATTGTTATTTTAAATTTTTGAAAGTCTTAAATTATTGTTGTTAATATTCTCATTGATAATGTTATTGTTTTGTCTCCCTTGTAAACCACTTTGAATGTTAGGAGATATTTATCTCTCTATATGTATATATATAGAGAGAGAGAGAGAAATATATATATAAATACTGCTTGCAGGCCCTGCTTGAGAATAGGATGCTGGACTAAACGGGCCACTGGCCAGATTCAGCAAGGCTGCCTTTATGCTCTTGGATAAATCAGAACCAAAGTCCCCACAAGACCTCTGACGATGAGTAGGAATCCGAACCCAGGTCCACTGTGGTCCAACACTCTACCTGCTGTGTGGTCTCTTCCTGTCCCAGATTTAGCCCATAAAGTTATTCTACAACATCAGGAGCAAATGGAGGAACCAGACCATCTGTAACAGTCAACATGCAGCAACGATTTCATAAACAGAAGCATCCCTACTGATATCCTGTAAGTCAGCAGCAGCTGGTCTGGCCCTCCTCCTCCTCCTCAGCTATCGTTTGAAAACAGGCCTCAGCACTCCAAGAGACAACCTGAAACCCTTCATACTTTCTGGGACTGGGTGACCATGCTAGCTGCATCTCCTCAAGAGGAGAACACCATGCCAAGAAAGAAAAAGAGTTTCTCCCTGACCCTATCTCTTATTTTGCTCCTGCTCTCAGCATCTGACACCATTTCTCTACATCCACCGCCCGCCCCCCTCCAGTTCTGAATTGTTCCAAGTCGTTCTTTTGGATTCCTCTCCCCACTGAAGGCCAGGAAAAGACAATCCAGCACTGGAGGCAGAACTCAGCTTAGTTAGATAAGAAACAGCTGTGTTAAAAACACACAGAGCTCTCCATTCAACCCAGCCAAGGAAGGAGGATTGGGGGTTGCAAGGAGAGCAGGGATATGGATGCTTGGTGGAACCCAGTGGTCTCCCCCCCCCCCACTCTGGCTAAGCAACAGCTTACAAAACTCAAAAACTGCAAGGCCAGTAGAGGGGGTATCCACTGCTAGTTTTTTTTTAAAAAACGGCTATTTTGCAAAATGTTGCTCTCTACTTGAATCCAGGCCAGTGGCTGGTGCTTCGTTTGTGAAAGTGTCTGGAGCTGAAACCTGGCAGAGCTCTTCTCCCCTTCATCCCCAGTGCATGGAACCTGGTTGCAGTTTCTGTGATGAAGGGGGAAACTCTGCACATGCCCAGAGCAACTCTCTTCCTTGGCAAGATTGGAGGAATGTTCAGAGTGATTGCAGAAACTTCAAGCAGAGAGAGATGATTCCAAGATGTTTCATTGTTAACGGGTACTGCAGACAAGGAACATGCTTTGACGCTAACTAAAGAGCAGGCTTTCCAAACCGGGTGCCTTCCAGATGTTTCAGACTACAACTCCCGTCAGGCCCAGCCATCACAACTGTTATGGATTGTCAAGCTAGGGGGAGACTGCAGGTTTAAATCCCCACTCGGCCATCTTGCTCACATCTTGCTTGGGCCAGTCATTCCTTGCAGGGTTGTTGTGAAGATGAAATTGTGGCGGAGAAGAGAACCTGTGTATCCCACATCCGCACTATACATTTAAAGCAGTTAACCTGCCACTTTACACAGTCATGGCTTCCCCAAAAGAATTCTGGAAACTACAGATTGTTTTGTATCTCACCGCATTATATTTCCAGTCGTGTGGTGAGATTGGTTACAGTACAAAATCATATGAGCAAAAAAAATTATATAATGTGTGGGGGGTGTCAGCTTTTCCCCTGCTACTGGGTACATAATAAAGGGATGCTACTCTACTCCATTCTTAAGGAAATCAGCCCTGAGTGCTCACTGGAAGGACAGATCGTGAAGCTGAGGCTCCAATACTTTGGCCACCTCATGAGAAGAGAAGACTCCCTGGAAAAGACCCTGATGTTGGGAAAGATGGAGGGCACAGGGAGAAGGGAACGACAGAGGACGAAATGGTTGGACAGTGTTCTCGAAGCTACAAACATGAGTCTGACCAAACTGCGGGAGGCAGTGGAAGACAGGAGTGCCTGGCGTGCTCTGGTCCATGGGGTCACGAAGAGTCGGACACGACTAAACGACTAAACAACAACAACTCTACTGAAAAAGTGTCATTTGTTTTCATTCCCTTTGCTGTACTTTTATTGGTTAGGTTCTCTGGTAATACTAGCTCTGGGAGGGGAACAGAGGTCTCCTAACAAATTTAAGCTTCCATAACAAACTACAGTTCCGGGGGGGGGGGGGCTGTGGCTGTTTAAAGTAGTATTATTGTGCTTTAAATGTATAGTGCAGATGGGGCCTATACAGGGACATCTATCTCCCTTGCAAAATCCCTGCCCCCTCTGCTAAAGTTGGTTCTAGGGAGGAGAAATGTTTTACCTCCGATGTGCTCCTCTGTAGGGGTGATGCCCAGTTTCTTGAAATACTCATCTGTTTCGGGGTCCACAACTAGCAGTGTGGCTTCATGCTCCTTGGACTTAATATGTGACACTACCTCGGAATGCTTCAGGCCCTCGACGTTGATCCCGTTGACCTGAGGGAGAGAAAACCAGAGAGGTAGGAGGGAGAGAATGAATGGATTACCACAACGTATTTCACATGGGGCTGCCTTGGGAGACAGTTTGGAGATCTCTGGGGTATCTGGTTGGCCCCTGTGAGAGCAGGATGCTGGACTGGATGGCACCTCCCTTGGCCTGATCCAGCTGGCCTCTTCTTTCGTTTTAATCTAGCATTAGATTTTGTAACAAACTTCTCCCCACCCCTCCAATACATAGATACAGTATAAAGAGCTAAAAGGTTTTGTCCCTTTTAGAACAAAGGAACCAACAGCAGCCAGAGGGGAATGGTTCTGCTATGATCTGCTATTTTAAACCAGGACAAAGGGGAAATTCACTCCACACAGTGGCTCTCACGGCTTTGAGAAACAATCACTGCCCTTTTGTTGCTAGCCTAGGATAATGGAGCAAAGGGGATCATTTTGTTCATGCCCGGGCGCCAATTATCACCTGACAATGGAAGGCAATTAATCAGTTCATCATGTGGTGTGTTGCTGCTTTCTGCTTTGCCTGTTTTCTTTTTATTATTATTTGGGGGATTTGGAGGGGAAATGTCAGCAAACTAGTTACATGGGCAAGATAGTGACATGCTTAGCCAAGTGCTTATCCTGAAGCAAAAGCAGTGGTGAGGCTCTGATCCAGAATATGCTCCCCATCTGGATTACACCTCCCCCCAAATACCCCTGACCTGGCTGCTCTTAGCCCTGCAAAGGTGCTGAGTTCACCTATCAAACCAAAGCTGTGGTTAAGTTCTTGCTTGGTTTTTTAAAGTAATTTCTCTACTGCTCCATCACCAGCATTTCGGGGTGTGGGGGCAGTCCATAAAAATAAACCATACAGAGAATAAAACAATTAAAAGTTAATCATAAAACCAACTGCTATTTTAAAATATCTGCTGGAACAAGCCAGTTTTTGTCATGCACCTGAAGTTCAGCAAGGACGGGGCCTGTCTAACCTCAGGTGGGAGGGAGTTCCACAGGCTTGGTCCCACTACACTAAATGCTTCTGGTAGTTACAAACGATGCACCTGAGCTATGGGTGACCACCAACAGAGACTCCCCGAAAGATCTCAGTGATTGGGCAAGGATCTAAGGGATCAGGCGAGCCTGAAGTTACCCTGAACCACAGTTGCTAAACTCACAGCATATGACCTTTGGCCAGTCACTGTCAGCCTAGATTACCTCACAAGATTGTTGTGAGGATAAAATGGAGTGAGGCGAGGGAAGCACCATGTAAACCACCTTCAGCTCCTTAGAAGAAAAGGCAAAATTTAAATGTAGTAAGTAAGTAAGTACGTAAAAAAATAAGCTTGGAGTCCCCCAGCGAAGCAGACAGCACTCTGGTGCGGAAATACAAAACCCTCGGCTCTTCTGAGGGCCTCCATTTCCTAGCAACCACCCAAATGGCTTCTCTTGCCAGAGGCAGGCCCTGACCGCTCTTCCACTACAGGCTCAGCTGCCTGCCTCAAGGAGCCAACAGGAAGGTGAAGCTGGAGGGGAGCCAGAAGCCAAGGAGAGCTCTTCAAAGCCTCCCAAGGGCTTCTGGCTGGGACACTGTCTCCATTTGAACACTTGCTGTTGCCACCTGCAGCCTGCACCTTTGCAGGCAGGGCCCTGGCAGTTGCTTCAAAGCTGGAGACAGGTGCAAAGAGAAAGAAGACGAGGCAAGAAAAACGTGAAGCAGAGGCTGAACAGTTCCTCCCCCCACCTCACAAGAACAGGCACCACAGCCCAAACAGAGGAGCTGCTGAGCATCAAACATTTATGGGAGCCCCTAAGAGCTGGGATCAGGTTTCCAAATTCCACAGGTTCACCTCCTCCCCTCTTTGTGCACTTCAGGAAACGTGCCAGGGGGTTGCTAAATTAATCATCAGCCACCTATCGGTGACATATTGAGTGCTGGAAGCAAAATCTGTCTTCATGAACACACCTGCCTCCTAGGTGGCCTCTCCTACCTCCCTCTCACATACCCCTCCCTCTCATGTGCACACGCACACACATGTACTGTTGCACTGCAGGCATTAAAGATTCAGGGGAGAGAAAGCGAGAGAGTTCTGTCGCTGCAGAACAGGTGTGTTCCTGCAAAGAGGGCAAGAAGAGGCAACCACAGAGATGAGCAATTGTTCTCTCTCTCTCTCTCTCTCTCTCTGAAACATGGGGGTTCAGGGTTTCTAAAGTATTTTTTTTCTGGAATTTAATCCTGCCTGAGCATCTCAGATGTTGGAAGCAGCTGCTCAGTGACGAGAGAATGCTACTCTGCACATGCTCAAAAGCACGTTTTCTTTCATGGAGAAACACTGCAGGAAGGCACCTTGCAACAAACTGACTGGAAACAGACAGAATTCAAACACCAACATGCAGGTCTTTGTCAGTGTCATAGTGTCGGCTCTGCATAAAAAGGTGAATGAACAATTCCAGGGCAATGGGCTACTGTGGAAGTGTTCAGGTGGAGGCTGAGTGCTTCTGCTCCTAGGTCCTCCTCCCTTCAAGCTGTCATCCGTTACCTCAACGAGTTTGTCCTGCGGTCGGAGTCCTGCCTTGGATGCTGGTGAATCCGGGTCTACTGACCGAATGAACTGCCCGGGCCTGGCTTTCTCACTGTGGAGGTTGAACCCGTAGCCAGTGGGGCCTTTTTTGAGATGGCAAAGTCGTGGGCAGAGGTCCTTGGGTTGTCCGTTCAGATCCTGGATTTGGGAAGGAGAAGAGGCCATTGTTGTGTGGGATTGTTTCTTTCTCTTTCTTTATAGAAATAAAAAGTGTCACACAATAAGAAAAAATGCACTAAGGAAACAGCCCTGAACAGGAGACACCCACCCATCTCCACAAGGCCAAACAGGGGCAGATTAAAAATAGACTCAATTAGAGGAAGTGCATTTGTTAAAAACCAATTGTCCAATCCCTCCTGACAGAATAAATTTAATACGCTTGCTAAGTGACAAAAGGATAAAATTAGACCCACCCGTTCAGGGCCCTCTCCCACTTCAAAGCACGCCTGACCAACCAGATCTTAAATGAAACACCCTACACAGGATTATCTGAGAGGCTAAATGCTGCCAAAAAACGGGGTGAGCTGCCTATCATTAGCTAAATGTGTGGACATTGAAAAAACAACATGTGTTCCTATCCCTTATGACTGTGGAGACTCTCCGTCCTTCTGCCTTCAATTAAGAACAGAAGTAGAGCCCTGCTGGATCAAGCCAATGGCGTGTCCAGTCCAGCATCCTGTTCTCACAGTGGCCAACAAGATGCCCCAGTGGGAAACCCACACACAGGATTTGAGCACAAAAGGACTCTGTCCAACGGTGGTCTCCAGAAAGCATTCCTTCATCAACACTTTTCCTTGCTGAAAATTTTTCAAATTACTTGAACCTGAAAGTTGGAAGCAGAATAAATGATGCAAAACTAAGATGCCATGGTGCAAATACATGCAATTCACATAACATACTCCAATTGCAGAAGTGAACTTCTTTTCCAGCAAAATAGTCTCTGGTTTACAGCAGCAGCTCCCAAGGAGCTCAGGTCAATAGGCAGACCTCTTAATGTCATTCAATTGCCTATTGTCGCAATTGCAACACACTATTCTAGACGCTGCATGGTTTTGGCATCACAATTTTAATTGCCACAATTCAAACTGCATTGCAATCCATTTCTGATTGCTAATCCTCCCTTGGCCTCTTTCAAGTCACTTCCTCCCACCTGTCACTTCCAGTCTGTCCTGGAGCATCTGCTGCCACAGTCCATCACAGCTGTGGGTTCTGATCTTCACAGGCATGCTGTGGACCACCTGCATTAAGCTCATGGACCACTGGTGATCCTCAGAGCACAGTTTGGGAAACCCCCTGGTTTACAGCACAGTGGCAAGGCACAATTTAGAATGTAGCATTTTTCACAATCCAAAACATCAGTATATTTGAATGGATCAGACACACTTGATTTTCAAAATCAAAACATTAACACAGTGTCCCTCAGAACATAAGAAGAACCTGCTGGATCAGGGCTATGGGCCATCTAGCCCAGCATCCTGGCCAACCAGATGCCTGTGGGAAACTCACAAGAAGCACCTGAGCACAAGATCACTCTCCCCTCCTGTGGTTTCCAACAACCGGTTTTCAGAAGTACTGACTGTGGAGGCAAGAACAAAGCCATCATGGGCAATAGCTACTGATAGCCTTTTCCTCTAAGTCCTCTTCTAAAGCCTTTCATGTTGGTGGCCACCACTGCCTCCTGTGGGAGTGAGTTCCACAGTTTAACTATGCACTGCATGAAGAAGTACTTTCCAACATTCAGCTTCATAAGATGTCCACAAGTTCTGGTGCCATGAGAGACTTCTATCATGTCATCTCTTTCTTGCCTTTTCTGTAAACTAAGAAGTCCCAAACACTGCAAGCTTTCCTCACAGGGCAGTCACTCCATCTCCTTGATCCACTGATAACTTTACTCAGAGCAGACCCTTTGTTAACTTGGGAAGCATGATTAACTTAGGTTCATTATTTTCAGTGAACTTAGCTGGGGACAACCACTATGCAAAGAAGTTCAAGTGCTTGGTGAGTCCTAGAAATCTATGGCTTTTCATCCGTCAGTGTTTTTTCTCTTCCAAAAGGTTGTGGGTTTCCTGTGAGCGAACCACAGGTACCACAAGAACACCACAGGGCCACAAACAAGTGAGGTGACATATCTAGGGAGAGACAGTTGTGGCTGGGGGGGACCGTTCCCATGTCAACACCAAGTCTTGACTATCTGAGCAGTGTTGGGCTGAGTTCAGCACTGGGGCAATTGCATCTTGGGGACCCCTGCCTTAGCATTTCACCCTTTTAAAAAGGTGCAAGATTATATCAGCTATTTTTTTCTTTCTTTTACAGGAAATAGTGCCACAAGGTGGAATAAGCACAAGGTCAGCGGCAGACAGTGGAAGCTCAAGCGGGTTATCAGGGACCCAAACAAGGCACCCGGCAGAGTCACCAGAGCAGAGGCTTTAATGTTGTCAGCACAGGCTATCTTTCCCCAACCTCGTACCTTCAGTCTGTAATGTAAGTTGATGACTTACAAACTATGGTTTGTTGTTAGAAAACAAACCATTGTTGCACCACTGGGAAGGCTTTGCACATAAAACTAAATCATGGTTTTCACAAACATGTGTATTCTAGGAGAAATTCTAACTAAACCACTGATGAATTTTCACACCCACTTAAAAAATAATAATTTGCAACCTGATGTGGAAACATGGAGAACTGAAGATTGGGGGGAGGGGGATGAGAAAATGGGAGAAAAACCAAAACTGAAAGATTTGCCCATCGCTTGTGTGAGTAGCATGTCCTGAGATGAGGGCAGATCAAATGCTGGGATCCCCTTTCCTCCTCCTTTTGCCCTGCCAGGCATGCCAGCAAATTAGCAGGCTGATGACCTTCTGCAAATTATGTTCCCTTTGGTACCTTAATCATATTTGAGATGCCTCTCCAGATTTACAAAGACAAAACGCCTGAAAATGAAAGCCTGCCAAGTTTCTTGGCACAGACGCCCTTGTCCCCCGAAATGAGAGCTGAGTGATGACACACAGGCGATAATTCCATTTGCGAGATAGCAAGAGAGGGCCTGCACCCGCCCCCAATCTGCACCAGGTGGCCTGCAGAGAACAGCAGCGCAGACACAGCAAGAGAGGCTGTGTGGAGCAATGGGAAGAGTCTCTTGATTCTGGCCAGGATTCAGATCTTCTGCTTAGCTGTTAATGACAATGGCTCACTGGTAGAGCATTTGCTTTGCACACAGACGGTCCCAGGTTCAGTCCCTGACACTTTCAGGTAACCCTGGGAGAGATCCCCTATGCCAGACCCTGCAGAGCTGCTGCCAGTCAGTGCAATCACTACTGAGCTAGAAGGGCCAACAGTTTGACTTGATAAAAGGCAGCTTCCTGTTATTTTAGGGGGGAAACCGTAGCTCAGCAATATACCACTACAACTGCTATTATTATTATTATTATTATTATTATTACTCACCCATCACCAGCAGATACCAGGGCAGATTACAACAATTAAAATTCAGGATTAAAAATAGTTATATTGCATTTTCAGGAATAGGATAGGGCCTAAAAACACACATCTCAGGTGTCAAAGGCCAGGGTAAAGAGCCATGTCTTCAACATTTGTCAAAATCCATATACTGAAGAAGTTGGGTAAGAGTCTGTGGGGAGAGAATTCCAAAATTCAGGGACTGCTACAAAAAAGGCCCTCCACCATGCATTCGGCACCTTTCTGTGCACTGCTCTGGTTCGTCAGTACTGGTTTAGTCATGCTGGCCACATGACTCGGAAGCTGTCTGTGGACAAACGCTGGCTCCCTCAGCCTATATAGAACGAGATGAGCGCCGCAACCCCAGAGTCGTCCCTGACTGGGTCTAACTGCCAGGGGTACCTTTACCTTTAAGATACTATAACCAAATTTTGCATGATGGTTCCTGAGATGAATGTTTCCTGTCTATCTCTGCATACAACTAGATGCCATTCGAAGCAAGATTGCGGACCGAACTTTTCAAAACTGATTGTTTTGGTTTCTTAGAATTCCTGAGCGACGCCAGGTACGAGGCTGCTAGCGATAAATAAAAGTGTTCTCTCTTTTCCCTCCTCCTCTCCAGCACATTTGCCAGAGAAAAGAGTTACCACCTGATGACAACTCCCCAAGGTTTGGCTGCAAATTATCTCTGAAGAAAAAAATGGTGTGTAAACAATCCAATTACAAAGAATAGTTTCCAAATGGCTGTCTGCACAGGAGGAGAAAGGAGCAGATTTTCTATTTACCTGCCTTTTTCTTTACAAAGAAGGGTCCCTCGATAGATGCTAATGCAAATAACATTTTTTTCAAAATACTCCTTGGAGGCTTGGATGTTGTAGAGCAGAGGCGGTAACTTGAGGTTACTAATGGGATAAAGCCCCCATTAGCCAGCATGGCCAGTGGTCAAGGATAATGGGAACTGTACGTCAGCAACATCAGAGGGTGCATGGGTTAGCGCTCCCAACCGATTTAGGGCTCGTGGTGTCAGATGCGTAAAAACTACAATAAAGATACCAAACATCCAACCAGCTCAACAAAGAAACAGGTGGTTTCAGTTCAAAAGGGCATTGGGTTCGCCTTGGAACTAACCTGCATGAATTCAAGAGGCAACTTACCGTAATGGTTTTTTCCCTACTAAGTGGAGGCCCACAAGGAAGCTTTTGCTACAAGTTACAAAAGCAGTCTGTATTATTTATTGTTATTATTTATCAGTGCTATTTTTCAAGAAAAATAGCATACCTCCCTTGTTCTCTTATAAAAGCAATGACGCCCACCTGAGAGGTGCCGGAACTGAGTTCCGGCTGGAAAAAAGCCCTGATTATTATTACCGTATTTTGATTTGTTTTTAAATGTATCTGAATCTGATCATTAAAGTAAGAGTTTACTGTTTCTATCCCTTGCAGGAAAGTCTCCACATTCTTGCCTTCCCCTCCAATTTCTTCATCACCCCTCTCCTTGCTAATATTTCAAGGAACACTTCTCCCTTTATGAACTGACCCACACCCTGTGATCATCATCTGAGGCCCTTCCTCCTATGCTCCCTCCATAAGAGGCCCAGAGGGTAGCAACAGAATACGTCAGGCTTCCTCAACCTTGGCCCTCCAGATGTTTTGAGACTACAATTCCCATCATTTGCTGCCAAG